CTGCTGTCTGAGGATCCGGCTCTGGAGTCTAAATATCAGTTTTCTCTGGCTACATGCATCTGAAATGCGCACTGCATGTCGACCCCCCCCGCACACACACACACACATATGCATGTAGGGTAAACATATCCTTATGGGGACCGCTCATTCATGCGCGCACACACACATGCACACACACACACACACACATCACCCCCACCAGTGCTCATGCCAGGAAAAGTTCCAAAGACAGGCGCAGCATGTTTTGTGCTGTGATTGAGTTCCTGTTAGTCACAGTTTCGTCCAGTTCCACCTGCAGGACCAGGTTAGGCTGAGCTCTCCTTTTGTGATGTGCTGGCTTTGCTCGTACGTTTTCCATGTGGTGATGATGATGATGATGATGATGATGATGATGATGATGATGATTCTTTACACCGCGGCTCGTCTTCATGAAGGCTGCACGCTTTGGGGTTCTGCTCCCCTCTCTGCAGTCTTAATGGCTCCGGTTGCAGCCCTCAGTGATAAACAGACACCTTAAATGCCACCTTAACTTTCAAATCACTATAAGCACTAAGAAAGCTTTTTCCCCAAACCAACCAAAGCACCTTCAGCATCACACCCTTCCTTTACATGTCTCTATGGCGACAGCTCAATGGATATTATCTTGAGTATAATTCTCTATTGAATGTTGTGTTTTTATAATCTCCCCTGACTGTTCGTTGACCTTGTATTAAACCAATGAGACATGAAATAAGTGATAATGGAAAAACAAGAATAAAATGTTCCTGCAAAACAATAATGCTGGACTGAAATGATTCTGGTTGCCATCTTATCGCTGACTGCAATTCTACCTAAGCAAGCAACAGAAGAAAACCATCGTAATCTTCTGAATATAATGCCTTTTCTGCATTAGTTTATCTTACAGTCTCTTCCATTTTTTACATTTTGGAATATATGTCTTTCAATACCAGTACTTTGTTCTGAATTAAAATGCATAAAATTAATAGCTATGGTCAGGACATGAATGAAAAGTCATTTTTCTCCCAGTGAAAGGGATTTAAATATCGAAAACAATTCGTGTTTCTTTTTATATAAATGGTACTGAGTGACGTTTTCCAAATGTTATTAAAGGTTCTGTTGTTTTCTGATTAATAAAATGTATTTCATTGGCATATGTGCAATTTAAATTAGCTAATAACGATGTTATGTTCAAGTTAATAAAGTAAATAAATCATAAAGAAAAATAAAAAAAATCTCGTAATCGCTAGTAGTAGTGTTTGGATATCGATGGCCCTACATCTCATTTACTCAGAGGAAAGAGAACTTCACTACTCAGTCTGCTCCAGGTTTGGGGGGTCTGCTCCGNGTGTGGTGACATGCGAGTGATGCCGCCTCACTGTGGTCATTCAGAACTCGGACTGCAGCTGCATTAATATACCCGATGGAAGACGCGGCTGTACGATCTCTGGCTTATTACTGCTGTCCGCAGGAAACGGGTCCCAGCGTGGAAAAGTAACGGAAACCGGAGAGGCACGATTGATGTGAACTGCCGGCAGAAGACTAAGTGCAACATGTGTTTGAAAATGGATGGAGATGACCTTTATTGACAATTAAATCACACCACAATCAAGTTATAGGTAATATGAACCACTTCTTTTAATTTGTTTAACAACCTTAGCACCTCGCGCATAAACATGTCTTTGGAGGAAACTTTCGTTTTCGCTCCGCAAGGAGAAACCGGCTCTGACCTCAACACATCATCTCCGAAGTCTAGCGAACATCTTACGTGGCATCCAGGTACGGCGATCGCCGCCGCGTACGGTCTCGTCATACTCGTCGGACTCATCGGCAACATAACCCTGATCAAGACTTTCTGGACAGTAAAGTCCATGAGAAACGTCCCCAACCTCTTCCTGTCCAGCCTGGCGCTGGGCGACCTGCTGCTGCTGCTTACCTGCGCGCCCGTCGATGCCAGCCGCTACCTGGTGGACGAGTGGCTCTTTGGGCGGGTGGGCTGCAAACTTCTACCCTTCATACAATACACCTCCGTCGGGGTCTCCGTCTTTACGCTCACGGCTCTGGCTGCAGACAGGTAAGTTTCTGGTAATGGTAGTGCAATTTCTATAAGAGTAAGGAGAAGGATTTTCGGTGGGTTATGAGGCTTGGAATGAATGGAGAATACATTGTTTGGATGTTAGTTAGACGCTAGGCTGTTATTTCTCAAGATATGAAAAGTAAAGACGAGAACCGGCCGATGGACTGAAGCCAGCGCCGTACATTTGTTTACTAAGAATAAAGGAGGTTGTAAAATAAATGCTACAGTTAATGGAGAAAGCTGCCGGAAGTGGTGGGAAATGGTATAAAATAAGCTGAAGATTGAATTGAGATGTTTTGTGGATAGCACTTTGCTTAACGGGGCACACATACTTAGTAATAACTCAGTTACTACTGAAGTATCAATCATGAACAAATATAGTCGCTACCTGAGAAAAGATGCGTCATAATTCATAAATGAAGAAACATGACATTAGTACTTCACTTGTGTTATTCGTTACTTTGTCCTTCAGCACTTCACAAAGGGTTACAGAATTAACAGATATAGTAACTAATATTTATTAACTTAATTAATACCCAAAGGAAAATTAAGAAAATCATTTTCATGTAATTAACACACAGATTAGCCCCACCTCGTCTCACATCTGTCTTTCAAAGGATGCACAGTAGGTCACAGATGCACACAGATTAAACTTCGATTTACAGGTGTGTCATACTTCCTGTGTTTCCAGATACAAAGCCATTGTCAAACCACTGGACATGAAGACCTCCAACGCCACAACAAAGATATGCATCCGAGCTGTGTCCATCTGGATTTTTTCTATGGCTCTTGCCATTCCCGAAGCCATCTTCTCTGATCTTCACACCTTTAGCATCTCCAGAACCAATGACACCTTTGTGACATGCGCCCCCTATCCCCACACGGGGGATCTACACCCCAAGATCCACTCCACGGCCTCCTTCCTTATGTTCTACATCATTCCACTCCTGATCATTTCCATCTATTACACTTTCATTGCCAGGAGCCTGTTAAGCAGTGCGTCCAATATGCCCATCGAACCCAACGTGCAGATCGCGAAGCAGGTGAGCTGGCTCCGTGGGAATGGGCTGGGAAGGTGTTTGGAAAACCAAGTATAGATTAGGAGTGACTTCTGTACATTCCTCCTTGTGGGGGTCTTTCTTGGCTTCTGTCCTGACATTTCAGAAAATCATTTTAGTGCTTTGTTATTTCTGGCATTTTAATCAACACGGCCGACCGCAAAACACATTTGTTCTCATAAGGCTTCTTCTTTTGTTGTCGTTGTGTAACTTGTGTTGAATGTTGCTGCACTTGTAAGCATCTGTTAAACAAGAGATCTTATGTCAACCAGGCCACAGTAGAGCTCTGCAGTTGTCTTGAGTGCAGTAGAGTTCTCAGTGGCGGGTCAGAGAATGGCTGTTTTAAAATACACATATTTTATCTGCATATCCCCTACTATACAGCAGGACAAACTGTGCTGGGGGCTTTTGAAAGGCTCAATGCGATCTCTGGGCAAGCTTCCCCAGGTGTGCTGTTAGCGGAATTTGGAGGGCTTCTTAATCATCTGCATTAGTTGGCTGCCATTGTTATATTTTTGAGGGCTTTGCCACAAAGCAACATCACTAAGATATTACTTAGCATTGTGCTAAATGTGGGAAGCAGTTCTGTTGTTTTCCGCCTTTCGCACATCCCCGCCACTTGGCCCGAAAGCTCTGGCCTCACACTTCCTTGGGGCCAGGCAGGTGAGTGATGTGGATACCACTGTGGATACAGGCAGGTGAGCGATGTGGATACCGCTGTGAATACAGGCAGGTGAGCGATGTGGATACCGCTGTGGATACAGGCAGGTGAGCGATGTGGATACGTTCCCACTGAAAACAACCACAAACTGCTTTTTTTAGGCTCTTTGAAATCAAAACCGTCCATCCATTAAGCCTGTCCCTCTGGTGATTTTTGGTGTAATATTTTCTTTAATTTCCTCTCCCAGAATAGCGACGAACATAAAGGCAATGACAGACCACTTCCCAGAAACTCCAAAGCCGTGGGTCTGCAGTGCTAACTGCTGAACTGTCTGATTCCATCCAGACTCTGAATCCCTTAATCCAACTAATTGTCTTGACTGAATCCAATTAAATGCCTTTCTGAGCTCTGAATTGTACAACATGAGCCGTCAAACTCTGTGGGTTTTTCTTGCCAGGACATGGTTGAACATCCAAGAGTGCTGGAATATAAAATATGTGTCTCAGAAATGGCGTGTTTTTAACCGGAAAATATGAATGTTTTAGTGACAAGTATGAGATCCACTCTAGTGAATATGATTTACGCTTAAAATTTCTAGTTCGACAGTGTTTGTGATGTTCTCCCATGTCTTCGCTCACAGATTGAGTCACGCAAGAGGCTCGCCAAGGTGGTCCTGGTGTTCGTGGGCCTCTTCGCCGTGTGCTGGCTTCCGAATCACGCCATCTACCTGTACCGCTCCTACCGCTACCCTCAGGTGGACACCTCCCTGGCGCACTACATCTGCAGTGTGTGCGCGCGCCTCCTGGCCTTCGCTAACTCCTGCGTCAACCCGTTCACCCTCTACCTGCTGAGCCGTGGCTTCCAGAAGCAGTTCAACAAGCAGCTGTGCTGCGGGCGGACGCGGCTCTCGCTGCGCCCCCGCATGGCCGGCCGCAGCAACACGCGCATCACCTCGTTGAAGAGCACCAACCCGTCTCTGCCCAGCTTCAGCCTCGCCAAGGCCAGCCTCCAAGCCCAGGATGGCACTGCCAGAAGATGATTCCACACAGGTTTAAGAGTTAGGAGCCATAATGGCCGTTCCCAGAGGAAAAAGCGTCTGATTGGCTACAGGCAGTGTCAGACTGAGACAGGCTGAAAGCAGATTGGATTTCAGTGAGGTTTTAGCATAGCCTGTTTATACTGGGCTATACTATGCTTTAGTGCAGGGTTCTTCAACTCTGGACCTCGATTCCAAATCCAGGCCGTGTTTTCAGTTCTCCAGGGTAGTTGTTTAATAATTACTGATTCTGATTGGTCAGAGGCTTCACACCTGACTGACAGGTAAAGGAAGGCTGGAAAACCAGCAGTGCTCGGACCTCGAGGACCGTGAGTTGAATAACCCTGCTTTAGTGCATCACAACCCAACGTCAGAGCCTCAGTGAGAAGAAGCAAACGGGATCTGGACATGGGAGATTTCAATCAAAGACTAGGAGCTAATATGGGTCAGACAGCCAGTGAAGTGGTTGGGGAGGGTCATTTATAGCATGTTCTGATTTAATTGACAGAGCAGTGTTATTAAATGTAAGTAACGGGGAGGTTTGACCGGTGCTCCTGTGTAAATCCTACTATGAGGCGTCGATCTGCTTCCTGCATCCCCCACAAAGCGACACGAAACCTCTAGTGATTAAAGTGTAACTAAACTTTAAGTGTTTGCTATGTTTCAGTGTCTCGTGTTTGTGAACAATGTCGTGAAAATTTCCTAGTGTTAGATGTATGTGCAGCATTGTATGTATATGTAGAGTTCACCATGGATAAAAGAACAGCACTGATTCGCCGTTGATCCCATGGGCGAGAGGCGGTGTGCTGCATAGCAATGTGAGGGCAATGATCGTTTTACACACTCAGCTATTTGGATTCTGGAGTGTCCCAATTACATTCGGGACCATGTAATCCGAGTGCGGCTCATTAACCGGCCTCATAAACAGCAGTGGTGACTCTGCTCTGCTGTCTTTGCTGATTGTAAGCCACAGCTGTAGGTCCCGGCTACACATTAATCGTCAGACAGAGGATTATTTTTGGACAGCAGCTACTGGGCTTTTAAGATGGCATTCATTAGCCGTCGCCGTAATGCAATGCGGGATTGTGCAAATATGACAAATATGAGACCTACCTCTCACTGAGGCGATGCATATGAAAACATTAAGCTGCGCACACGTATACACACACAGTGTTGGGATGCACAGTAACTCACCCTTTTATAAGCAATAAAAGGAGAGTAGGAAAGCAGATTAGTGACCTTGCTGTGTTAAGACTGCGGGGTACGGTCTGGCTGCAATGCTGCATTTCCAGTCCAGGCTGCGTTTTGCTGTCCAAGCTCTCCTCCAGTCTATCAGGAGGCTGTCAGGAAGACATGGCGGGCCTGAGAATGGTCATGAGGAAGGGGGGGGGGACTGCCAGAGTCTTTGAGGGGGGGCGGTTTGTGGCTTTGTGAATGACGTAATGGATACTGGGAACCAGCGCATGAGGGTCCAGTCACCCGGAGACTAACGCGATCCCTGTGTGACAACAAATGGCTGCGGAAGGAGGACACGCATTTCTTTAACACAACGAGAAGACATATTTTTTATAGGGATCGTTCATAAATGTCAGCTTTTCGAGATTTTTTTAAAATTGTGTTTACATGTTTGTTTGCATGTACCGTGTAAAAAATGCATCCCAGTTAATTCATGTGTATGGATTTTATGGGACGTCATCATACTAAAAGAAACATTAGCAGTACTTTGAAAAACAGGCACTAAAATGATGATTGTTTCATAAAGACGGCAAGTACTTAGCAGAACTTAGTAAGACACAAAGACTGAAATTCTAATACCTTTATACACTGCCTTGCACCTATAGCCTCCGGGAAAGACTCCGGACCCCCCCGACCCTGAATAGGATAAGTGGTTTCAGAAAATGGACGGATGGATGGATGGATGGATGGACCTTTATGCATTCATAGACACCCCACCCTTCCCAGAAATTGCCAGCAGCTACCTGACGCCCACAAATGATCAGTCACCTCATTTACAATCATTCCACTACTCAGCGGATCCCCCCCCCCCTCCCGCTGCCCCCACAAAAAAATTTCACCTCCCTGAAATCAATACCCCTGCAGTGGGATGTGTGCGTTCCTGCTGTGAAGGGACACAATATTCATAGTTTGTTAGTATTTATATTTTAAGTTTAAAAAGTAAAAGCAAAAGGCCATATATATTACATTGGTTCCTGCACCATAGTTTCGTGTGTTTTACTCAGATAATTTTAAAGTCTATGACTTCATATTGCCTGCTGTTTTCTTTATAAATAACCGTTCCAAGGTTTCAATAAATCCTTACCATTGCGGTGCCACAGACACACAGAATGTTTCTCCCACACCAGCTGTTTGCAGTTATTGCCATAGCAATGGCTGCCACTTTGAGAGCAAGAAGATCGATCTTAGTCAGGCCTTGATTTTACTGATGCTGCTGTGCTCTCCACTCAGAACGGCGCTTATTTGGTGCAAAATGATTTTGGGCTCTTCTAACATCTCTTGCCATCTGAGGGCTGATTTGATCTCTGTTTCCCAAAAGCCCTGCTGATATTTTAGTGTGACAATGTAAATCTGTAGCTTTATGAAACATGCCGTAGATGTTAATCTCACAAAAGAATAATGCAGTTCAGTTAATAAGGAGTAGTTGTTTGATATGTTTCTAAAACTCTGAAACCTGTGAAATGTGTTAAGGATATTTTGTCTCGTAGGTAACCTTTGGCTTTTGTAATGATGTAAATAAAGTGTCTTGTCTCTGTTTAATGTTCTCAGTAATCCCTGATTTTTATTCATACTACAGAGCATTTAAGAATTTTTATAATAACTCCAAAGCAGTGTTGGGCATTTCAGGTCTAGAAACTACCAATCCAGACCAAGATTTTGTTTCTACCAACCAGTTGAGTTCCCTGTGACTGTGACTCTTAAGGCTCACCTGGTTGGTAGAAACAAAATCTTGGTCTGGATTGGTAGTTTCTAGACCTGAAATGCCCAACACTGCTCCTAAGTTCTTTATTTCTTTAATGAATGAAACCCTTCCTCCATATTCTCTATTGTCATGTCAACTTCACATATAACTCCAACATATAACTATGAAGAGGGACTTAACATACTGAGTATGCTGATTTATTTGAATCATTTTAGAAGTTTTAACTTTATTTAAAACATAAGTTTGAAAGATTTACCAGGTGTCCTTGGAGGTTAATGTGAGGCTTTTGTCTTTGGTTACTGTATACTGTTGTAAAGTATACAAAAATAATGCAGAAATATGTAATATCTAATTAAATGCATACAAGGATGTGTGTTAGTGTAAAAGATATGAAACAACATTTGTTTATGTAATGCTATCATAACTAGGCGGGAATGATATCTAATTGCACATGATGATAAAAAATGCAGGTAACATAGTTATTTAATGAACTTGATGCGCGATTCGTTTTTGGATACCGTCTCTAGGAACAGAAAACAGCAAAACAGCCTCACTGGCTAATTGACCACAGTATGTACTGCCTCAAACTGAACTGACTCTTTATTGATATAAATAACACAACCACCCCAGGCTGGGTTTTTGGGGGGAAAGGTTTCCCACAGAACTTGTTTATGAGTGTTTTCCGTGATGGAGAGGATGTTAAACTCCACATGCCAAGAGGAGATGGACGACGCTGCGCACTCTTACTGAGACAGACAGCTGGTGACAGACAGCAGTCACATCCTCGGTTTGGTTCTCACGGCTGCATATCTCTGGGGGACCCTCAAGAAGGTGCCCCCCTGGCCTTTATTGAGTGCAAGAGCTCGGGAGAGAGGGGCATCATGGGAAACAGGCCTGGGATCAGCCATGGGTCAGTTCCACAGTCTGCTGAACAATGAATCGAAATGGCAAGCACATTTTATGTTACTTTAATCACTTGTGTTGACTGGAGTTAGATTAAATCTCCCCTGCAATCAAATTTTCTTTGACTACAAACTGAGTAATCATGTTCACTTCACAAGAGAGCAAAAACGATTGTCAGATTTTATTAATTATATACAAATATGTTTCGTTAATGCATGAAGGCTTTGCATGAAGATAAAGTGGACTAAAGAATTAACAGGAGTGGGGGCCTAGACCACTGACACCGTGCGAATGGTCCGATGCACTGGCCAGGCAGTGACTTATGAGTTTGCAGCCAGTTAACTTTCGTGCAGTCATGTCTGTGAAAGATCATTACGGCGATGTTCCCACAGGGTCTGTCCACTGTCCAAGCTGACCTGCGCTGCTTCCAGCACACAACAGTAGGGATCTGCTGCCACAGTCACAGTTAGTCATGGTTAGAGGTGGAAAGTTCAGGTCCAGAAAGTACAAATCAAGACCAAGGTTGTCTTTCAACCAACCAGTTGAGCATAAAGATTCACAGTCACAGAGTCCTCAGCTGGTTGGCTGAAACGAAACCTTGGTCTGGATTTGTACTTTCTGGACCTGAACTTTCCACCTCTGGTCATGGTTATATGTTAGGGACTGTTAATTACAGTAACCATGGCAATGCCACAGGTGACAATCTGCTAGAAATATGCTGGTAGCAACAAGGAAAATGTTAATTAGGCTTTGGATAATTGTTTTTTTGACCAATTTGTTTACCATCAGCTGTTCTCTGACTTGGTTTTCTATTTCTTCTCTTGTTGGCCACCTTCCCTCCAGGTCTCTCCTCCTCTTTTCGCCATTTAGCCCTAATCGGTGTTTCTTGGTTCTCGACCTATGGCTTCTGTACCATTGCTTTGTTCTGGTTTCAGTCTCTCGGTTCTCACATTGGGTTAGTGTTCCATCTTTTGCAGAGAGCCTGAATCACGGCTCTGGGCGTCTCGTGCCAGTCCGGTATAATGTAGCCCGTTAGAAATGACATTTATGGAATGAATCGAATTCTGCATGGCACAACAACACAGATATGCGATACCGGCATCCTACGAAGGTCACCGCGTTATCTAGGCGAGGCACTTCTATTCACCATCGATTTAAAAATCTATTTTCCAGACATTCGTTTCCCCAAACTGCTGAGATACATCATGCATCATCGATACTTACGTGTGAAGGCATCGCCGTTATCTGTGGTGCCTGTGGCCATCAGTGATTACGCCTCGTAAATGGAATCCTTACCGACTATGTGGGCTTCCATTGCGGTTCCATATTACAAACATCTGTATATGAATGCATGTCCCTGAAGCCGACACTGCAGTGACTTTGCATTCAGTTACCCGGTTGACAGTTTTATTTAAAACAACACCCTAATTTACCCATTAACACAGCTAGATATTTTCCTAGAACAATTAATTTTAAGAGATAAGGGGTTAAGGAGTGCCACAGCAGACCCCATTGTTCACTATCAAACCAACAACCTTCAGGCTGTAAGTGTATCCCGGTGCTATAGACTTCCAGTAAGGATTATATCAGAACTCGTCAAGAAGTTTGAAAGATCCATGGGAGTAAATGTGAACACATAACCTTACCCCCATGCTTCATTTGCACATATTTTTAACGACTGGGAGCGGCTTGGCAGCCGTTCGATGGCCTGGCCGTGCTGAAGACGACCCCCAGAGCAGGACGGCTACTGGATCACAGTGGCTCATTGGCTAGATGCCCCGCAGTGCACAGTACGCACCTTCCGGCTGTCAGGGCTCATCACGATATTTTATTCATTGAGCAAAAGCTGCAGTGATCTTAAGACCCCCTTCGTTTTTGCTTGTCCCTGTTACTCTGCAGACCAAACTAGAACACAACACATAACATAAGAAGACAGACAGCCCACAATTTTGGATTTACAGGGAAACCTAAGAGGTGTGTGGTATAAAATGAGCCCTTTTTGAGTATTTACACGTCGCTGCGTAAATCTGCTTCTCAGAGGGTCTTTACTGCCAAGAAATCGTTATGCTAAACACCAAGCACTTTACGCTAATATTGACGACCTTCTTCTTGCTACTACAGAAGGTTTAAAACTGCAGCGTCACCCATGAAACCGTCATGTTTTACAGAGCTGAGTCTGAAGGAGGCCTGAATCTCACCTACAGCCTGACACAAAGAACGGTGGTTTAAGTGCTTTTTTCTGTGCTGTTAGCTTATGCAGCGACTGGGAAGATGGGGATGGAATCATTTAGAAGTGACCTTATCTGTGAACCAAACGCGATCAGTCATTTTTGCCTGCTGTGACCATGGCTGAATCCCTGGGGATTTTTCTCCATCTGAGAGGCCATCAGTCATGCCTGTTTCGGGGCCTTCTGGATGAAAAGTGCAGGCGGCCTGACAGTGCCAGCGAAAAGCCACACACTGGAGATCTGTAGACCTCCTCTCATTTTTTAGATATAATTTGCCTTTGTCTTCATTTTTACTTTTCTGCATTTTCTAAGAGCATGGAAATGTTTGAAATTGTTGCCCTGTGTGTTTTATTCATTGTTGTGCTGGGCTGTGATGCGTGACCATCAAAGTTCAAAAGTAAATTTGTTTGTAATTCTCGTTTAAAAAAAAAAAAAAAAAAAAAAAATTCATATATGTTCAGCCAAAACCAAAAAATAGCGATGTGAAATGTGGGCCACATCATTTAGGACCGATTACCCACTTCGTATCTGATAAGTTCGCTGCTGAGAAACGAGGCTGCGTTGCCCCATCGTGACACGTTATAACCCGGCGTCTGCCAAGGTCCCAGCTGGCTTGGAAAATGGCGGCGGAGCACAGTCTTCCGGACACAGTGAAGTGCAAAGCCACGCTCTTCTGTGCACTTGCAGAAATCCTCTCCAGCGGCAGGAGTGAAAGCAGAGCCTCCCCCTGAATCGTCACCTGTCCATATAAACCCCCGCAATGACCTACATGCTGGGGCCAAATGCGCACTAATGCACTTTAGATGATTGTTTAAGTCCCACAATTCCATACATCAAAACACAGCCAAAGAGCCTAAGTGTCACGTCTACAGGCTGAAAGGAATTTTCACCATATCTGTTCTGACTGGCTGTTGCTCTTATTTTAACTTGAAGTGCAAAAAGGATGGTTGGAGACCCCCCCACCCCCCACATCCGCCGTTTCAAAAGGATCTGAGCACTTCTGAGAGTTACCAAAGACATTAATGGACTCCTGACGGGCATCAGACAGTGTCCGAAATACCCGGACAGGATGGATCTGAGCCATCAAGCTGCCTGAAGAGTGTGTGACTGGGACCAGAGTGATCGAGAGAGGGATCTGCGAAGGGGCGAGGGCGGTACACCAGAGCGTAAGACTGACTGGCATCAATACTGCGCCGCGAGACCTTCAGCTGACCTTCAGCTGACCTTCAGCTGTGCCATCAGCGGGTTCATCTATCGCAAAACACACTAAGGGTCCCACCCGTGATGAAGGCATTGTGTGTTTATGCATGAGTTTCCGCTTTGCCACAGTGTGTGAACGGTCAGCGTGAACAGATCACAGACAGAGACGATCCTGGTTGTTCAAGGGCGCCCCCTTGTGACTAAATTGGAAAAATCTGAGATCAGATTCAGCCTGGCAAACAAATAGTAACTGTAATGGTCTTAATGCCCTTTATACAACCATAATTCAGAGTATGCGGACTAAAATAGGCTAAAAGCCATTTATGCTTCATCCACAGAGGCTGTCGCTGGACTTAATGACTCTGTAGAGCCTCTTCGGATAAAAATCAGCAGATAAAAAACAAAATGTTACTGGGCAATTTTAGATGTTTAGATATGAAGGACTAGAAAAGGAACCATAACACGGACATAAACACAAAGATTCAAGACTGAAAAACATAACTAAAGTAGTTTTAGTAATTATCCACATTTATGAAATGGCAGCGCTGAGTTAACAGAGCGAGTGCTTCAGAGTTCTGCAAAATGTCCTCGACTGAAAACACTTGGACAGTTTTGGTTTTAGTGGTCACCCCTGCAAAGGTCACTGTGCAGGTGCGGTTTTAAACCAGCCTGCAGACTTGCTGCTACCCTGTGTTAAGGTGCCGTAAAGCAATGAAACCAAAGTGTTCAGCAAAATTCCAAGAACACAGGAAGGTGTCTGGAAATGGGAAACATTGACTGAACTTTTGTAAAGAAACCTTCCCCTGTCAGTGTGAGTGATAACAGCCTCCATCTCTGGTTCTTCCCTCCATCTCCCCTTTTTAGTTTATTCCATCACCACCAGGATTTAATTATAGACAGAGCCCAGTGAAACCCAGCTCCGCCTCCTTATGTCCAAATCACACCTTGCCTGAGCACAGCTCCGCCTCCTTATGTCCAAATCACACCTTGCCTGAGCACAGCTCCGCCTCCTTATGTCCAAATCACACCTTGCCTGAGCACAGCTCTGCCTCCTTATGTCCAAACAGTGCCTTGCCAGAACGTAGCACTGCATCCTTAACCTTGTGTCCCAAAACTTTGTAAAAGGTTCAAAGTGAATGGTTTAATAAAAGGTCAGTTTTGTGCTAAAAATCATCATCATCAGCTTTAATATTAATTTTCATTAGTCGCTTTGATTTCTCAAGTAGATGAGATATACCTACAGTACATGACGCCGTGATTTCTATCCCGTGTCTTTGTATTTTGACTTGTTTCACTTACTGCACCACTGCCAAAACGTAACTTACTAGCTGGAGTCTGTTAGACTTAAATCATGTGTAAGAAGCAATCCATGAATAGTATTTTTATGCATTTTCACAGGAACATTACACAAGAATAAGCAGGACTATTTAAAAAATCATTTACAATTGTGTTCAGAATAATAGCAGTGTGTTTAAAAAAGTGAATAAAGCCCAAAGTCCTTATAATAGCTTTTATTTCTATACATGTAAATGCATTGGGAACACTGTACATTCTATTCCTAATCAAAACATGAAGAAAGATGATCAAATTTCTGTTAATCCTTTATACAAATTTGCCAAAAAGGAATATTAGGCTGTTCAAAAAATGAGCAGGGTCTGCATCCTTCTTTACAAACGCAAACATTTACTGTGTAAACTGAAGATTTAGCTTCCCTTTGAATATTTAGTTGTATAACCACTGTTTCTGAGAACTGCTGCACATCTGTGTTGCATGGAGTCGACCAGCTTCTGGCACCTGAGAACAGCTATTCCAGCCCAGGATGACTGGACTACATTCCACAATTCTTCAGCATTTCTTGGTTTTGCCTAAGACACAGCATGTTTGGTGTCACCCCACAAGTTTTCTATTGGATTAAGGTCCGGTTTGCTCTTTTACTGGTGTGTTTGGGGTTGTTGTCTTGCTCAAACACCCATTTCAAGGGCATTTCCTCTTCGGCATACGGCAACATGACCTCTTCAAGTATTTTAATGTTCTCGAACTGATCCATGCGATAATTAGGCCCGACGCCGTAGTATGAGAAACATCCCCATAACATGATGCTTGCGGCACCATGCTTCACTGTCTTCACAGTGTACTGTGGCTTGAATTCAGTATTTGGCGGTCTTTTGACAAACTGCCTGCAGCCACTAGACCCAAACAGAACAACCTTGCTTCCATCAGTCCACAAAATGTTGTGCCATTTGTCCTTAGGCCAGTCAATGTGCTCTTTGGCAGATTGTAACCTCTTCAGCACGTGTCTTTTTTCAGAAATGGGACTTTGCGAGGGCTTTTTGCAGATAGCTTGGCTTCATATAGGCGTCATCTGATTGTAACAGGACTCACAGGTAACTGGAGACCTTCTTTGATCTTCCTGGAGCTGATCATTGGCTGAGTCTTTGCCATTTTGGCTATTCTTCGATCCATTTGAATGATAGTTTTCCGTTTTCTTCCACGTCTTTTAGGTTTTGGTTGCCATTTTAAAGCATTTTTGATCATTTTAGCTGAGCAGCCTATCATTTTCTGCACTTCTTTATATGTTTTCCCCTCTCCAATCAACTTTTTAATCAAAGTACGCTGTTCTTCTGAACGATATCTGGAACGACCCATTTTTACTGAGATTTTCTGAGAAATGCACTATAACCAGCATGAACATTTGCTGCCTTCCTTCCTTAAATAAGGGATGTAATTGGCACCTGTTTTTTCACAGATTGAATTACCTTACTAATTTAACATCACACTGCTATTAATTTGAACACGCCCCTTTCAATTAATGGTTCAATTACACAGAACCAGCAGCATGCATGTCATGTCTATTGGTTCTCTATTATTCTACTACACCTACTAGCACATTATTTGCCATGTAGAAAAAGGTAGAAAATGAATTTCTACCAAAAACAGTGACAGATCAGGTTAGTGACGTCGGACTGTTATTATTTTGAACACAACTGTACATGTTTCAAAAGATTTCAGTACATTTGACTATGCATTATGTACAATAATCATATCAAATAAAGATAACTTTTGATCACATTTTTAGTTTATTTTATATTGCTTTAAAATGGTAGCTGTATGCTGATACACGAACATACTGCATCGTTAATACTGTGACCATAAAACATAGGATTAGTATGAAATTAATGTTCAAAGTGGCTTATTCAGAATGCCCCCCCCCCCTCTACTTTGTACCCAACAGCCCCCCGCCCCCCCCCATGTCTCTGATTCTAACTTAACCCCTGATCACCACCATGTTTGTATTAATTAACTAGTAGGTGGTGACCGAAGGGGGGCCGGGGGGTGACTCCAGGGTAATTAATCAGCTCTTACAATACTAAAAGTTTAATTACGATTACATTTCACAGCTAGAACAGACATTAATCCTACTTTAATGTTACTGTACACTGCCAATTGAATACATTTTAAAGTTTATAAACATTCGTTTAGGGTCAATTTAACATTTAATTGACGAAGGAGCAAAAACAGAATAAGTTCATTACATAAGCAAAAAAGAAAAAGACGGAGCAGAGGTTCCTGACCCGTGTCCCAGAGGGCTGTGATCCAAACTCCCTGGGTCAGGCCTAAAGAGACCTCAGGTCACCAGGATGAAAAGCAGACAGAGGTTAAATCCCCCCCAAAAAAAGCTGTTGAAACATGCAAACGCAGTTATGACAGTCCGTCCAAACATTTATAAAACATGAGATGGAGCTCATTAACCAAGCAAAAACTGTATTTACAGATGAGATGAGATACAGGAAGATACAGGAGAAGCAGAAGTATGGGTGACAGGTGGGGTTGCCATAGTTACCTGTAAAACAGAAAGCTGTACAGGTGACTGGGAAGGCCGAGGTTGGGGGCCAAGTGCAGCCGCACTGAACCCAAGACGTGGCGGATGTGAAGGCGACATAACTGGGAGAGGGCGGGGGGGTCTACAAGGGAGGGAAACCGGGGGGAGACAGGAAGTCAGAGGGACCAGCCTAGTGTGTGTATATGTGTGTGTGTGTGTATTTGTGTGTATATGTGTGTGTGTGTGTGTGTATGTGTGTGTGTGTGTGTATGTGTGTGTGTATTTGTGTGTGTGTGTGTATTTGTGTGTATATGTGTGTGTGTATATGTGTGTGTGTGTGTATATGTGTGTGTGTATCTGTGTGTGTGTGTGTATTTGTGTGTATATGTGTGTGTGTGTGTGTGTGTGTGCGTGTATACGCAGTATCTCACGCTCTCTCAGTAGTAGTTCTGCCTCCACCAGGCTAAGGGGCATAGCCAGCTCCACGGGCCTCCTCCCCTCTCCATCCCTGCTCCACACGTCTGCCCCATAGTCTATCAGTAGCTCCACCACATGGACATCTGTCTGCCTTGCTGCGGCATGCAGCGGGGTGTCCTGCCCCCTCCCTCGACTGGCATCGGCTCCTGCGGACATAAACACACATGTGCTCTGTGATCATGCCAAGCGCGATCACAGAGGACAAAGATGTAGAACGAGGTCAACAACTGGGGCACCCATGAAAGGAGCCAATAAAAATCAGCTTTTCAACCAATAGAAACAGCAGGTCAGCAGTCAGGGGAGCTCAAGTTAAGGCTGGCCTTTGTCATGACTGGACTTTGATGATGGACTGGGCAATGCCACCATCTAGTGGTCTGTAAAATGTCTGCGTTTGAAATACAAACCTAACTGCAAGAGTCTCTCAACACAGTGAACCTTCTGAGATACACAGGAAATGTACAGAGGGGTTCCAAGCTTCGGGATCTCAAGATCAAGGTCCACCCCATGGGCTATTAAAATCTCCATGCACTCCCAGTGTCCTGAAATGGGGGATCCCAAACATCAATTTAACAGCACAGAATCAGACAAAATGCTAAAAATAAATGCAGAAACCATATATAAGTTTTAGGAAGAATATCTGAAATTTAACTCCTAAGTTACTCAGGCTTATAATACTAAAAACTCTTAATAAAAAGATTTCCGGTGATCCCACTGGAGGGGGTGGAGCTGCAGGCGATGGTCACACCTCTCTGTGCAGCCTCGTGGATAGGAGATGCCACCAGAAGGGTGGAGCCGTGGGTGGGGTGGAGGGCGGAGCCATGGTCCAGCAACAGTTGAACGCAGGCGGGGCTGCCACCCCGGCAAGCGCTGAAGAGGGGGGTCACTCCGTCAATTGTGGTTGCATTCACCTGCCGGAGGTGGGAATGAAAAAGCCGTTCAGATTTGAGCATTAGATAGCGGTGGGGAGGTTCAGTTCTTCCTACACTCACAGCAGCCCCCTTCTCCAGTAAGAATCGGGCACATGAAACTCGGCCTCCGAGGCAGGCGTCGTGAAGGGGAGACACCTTCTCCATGGTGACAATGTTCACGCTGAAGCCCTGTCAGAGCACGAAGGACAGAGGAAAACTGCTTCAGTAACTGGAAGCTGTAAGTCAGAGTCACAGAAAGGCTGCGTGAAGCTAACAAAAATCAGTGTTATAAGAGGCTGAATGGAGGATTACAAACAGGCACGCCCTGGCCACCCCTCGTGTCTGCCCATGTGGAAGGACCCCACCACACCTGTGCCACCAGGGTCATAAGAGCCAGCAGCTGGCCATGGAAAGCAGCTTCATGGAGGGGGGACCTGTCTGCCCAGGAACCTGAGAGGTTCAGAAAAATGCCATAAAACCATATACTATTCATATGCATATTAACAATGGACATAGGTATTGAAATCCGCATTCTGGTACTGTGTATGGCCATCTTACAAACTGGGCTGAAAAGATTTCTGAACAATGCAATCAACCTCAAAGAAACACCGGATACGCGGTTTTCTGATAGTGTAAGCTTTTTAGCCGTGATTTTTTATTTCAGACATTGTCTCTAAAACCCAAGAGAAACAAGAAGGGCCATTGCTCAATCCACCGCACAGACAAGTTCATCTGGAACAAATGTACTGTTATATTTAAAACGACTCGCAGAATGTGGAACCACTACTTCACATGATAAAATATACATGTTTTTCGCTTCAGTGAAGCGACACTAGAATATTAGGTAACAGGTGTTTCAGAGTATTAAAAACCGCAAGTTTACCATGTACGTTGGTGTCATGCTTCTATTTCCAGACCTTGTTTTGCTTCGACTCGGGGAGCGTTACGGACCCCACTCACCGCCCTGGAATGTATGGCAGATATAATTCCCGTAGAGGTCGTATCTGGAGTGCCAGGACAGGGCCGGCGATGTCGTGCCTCCTCAGCGACATGCCGCACGCTTGCTGGCCGGACACTGCTTACCGGCTGCGGGGAGACGTCCAGCAGGCTTCCCTAGCCGCACTTGGAGATGTGCCATCCTTTGGTAAGATGAGCCGGATCAGCGACCCCTGACAGGCGTGCATGGCGATCCTGGTCTTCAGAGTCCCCGGGTGCACCGATTCAGGACGCGGCTGATCTGTTTGCGGGTTGCGCTTTGTTATATTAATGCAACTCGTTTGTTTACGCAGACTAGCGTTACCATAATGAAGTTACGAAAAGTCTTCCACAAATTCCTTTCAAATGACCAACAAAACCACTGTACCGAAGAGAAGCCCTTTCGTGCAATATTAATAAAGTCCATTTATTTAACAAAATACCACGATTTGTACCAGCAGAGGACACACTTTAATTTTTTAAAAATATTTTTGTACAAGTATCAATAATTGTTGCTTTCATATCACAACCACCTGCTTAACAGCTTCACCTAACAGACTTTAATAAACAATATCAGATCATATAACTACGATCCACATACGTTCAGAGTTTAACTTTTTCTACTGTAAACAGTACAGGTTGAAATGGGAGGGTGGCATCAAACACATAAGAAAAATTAATTTATAAGTGCAAACAGTACAAATGAATCAGGAATTTATATGAAAATAAGTACAAAAGAAAATGGCTGAAACACGATGCAAAGAAATGAAAGATTATGATTACGCAATGGCAGCAACGATAGCTTAGTTTTTGACCATTATCTTTTCGGAAAATTGCTTTCGTGAAATCAACACATAGATATTCCATGTTTTTTTTTTTTTTAGAAACACACGCCATGTTTAACATTTCAGAAATAATCCCTCTATTAAACGAACCCTTTCCTTGTGGTTTAGGCGCCTCATAAGTAATGCAGGTATGTCAGAAGGCTGTACCGTGAATGGTTCAAAACTGGTGAGGGACCCGTGACCGCTAGGGGGCGATGAGGCTTCAGTCACAGTGCATACGAATTGTAACATTGTTCTCTACACAGCTTACAGTCGGAGTGGGATCATTTAACAAAAATCGTAGACATTCTACAGGGCTGTAATGTAAACCGTTTTGTAATGAAATACAATGTAAAACAGAACAGATTCCTCAGTAGAAAAATACATATGGAAAATAAACATCAGTGCATACGATCCTTCATGGACTTCGTGACTAAATTAAATTAAAATCACACAAAATCTCCTCCATTTTTATACCCGCTGCTGTTGCAACCAATGAATCAGTATATTGAACCTCTTTACTGTAAATAAAGCGAAACAGCACCATCACCGCAATTAGAATTGGCAAGAGGGATTTTTAAATGCAAAAACCACGTCACACACAACTGCCTTTTGAGTTAAAAGGTTTGTATATTATTTAAATTTTGCAGTGCAATAGTATTTTAATAGTAGGCAGCCAGGTCCAGTACAATGTTCACAGTCATTCTGGCTGATATTAAAGGAAATGGAAGTTAAGATGTGAATCCTTGATGTAATTCTCCACACAACCTGTCTCGTAAACTTGGCCACAGCGGTTTGTCCAGCTTCTCCTGTCTACCACAGGCTTTCTTACATTACAAAGGAAAAAATACAAAAGTGAAAAATCCAAACCGCTATTTTTGGACCCAAAAGTATATTAATAATCACAACACTGAGGTTTCATACAGGAGATACCCTGGCATAAGGTTAAGCCCTTTAATTCCTGCAAACTATAAATAACAGCTCATTTATAATGAAGGAGCTGCACAAAATCCCTACAATGCTTTTGCAAAAGGTTTTGATCAAGCCCCATAAAAAAAACCATTTCCCTTAAAAACCGTTTTTAAAAACATGATACGTATTAACAGGCAGCATAGCAGTCATAGCGGTTTAGTGCTCAAAACCAGACAACGGCGCTAACTGGACCCCACACTCTTCTGGTACTTTGGCCTAATGTTCTTGTCCCTGCTTGAGTTCTGTGCCCATAGCCCCTTCGGGCCAGACGCATCCATGGCGACGTCGACGAGCGAGTCCGGAACCAGCCACTGCAGCAGCAGCAAGAACAGGAAGTCCAGAACGGCGACGAAGGCAAAGATGGAGCCTGCGACTGGGCCGCACCGTGCCCTCAGCCGGCGGAGGCGCTGGTCCAGGGGCAGGACTCTCTCCGTGGCGATTCGGTCATAGACCTGCCAAAACGAAGCAGAAGTGACTGTCCGTTATCAGGCACGGGGTCAGATACAGCCTACAGCTCTGACAGGATGTGAAGGGGACTCCACATTTCTGTGCCCGTGATCAGAAGGTCACCGGTTCGAACCCGACCTTAGCAAAACAATCACAAGTCAGTGGTCCCTTGAGCAAGGCCCTTAACCCCCAGCAAATGACAAAGGATTTATTATTTAATTGTTGTATCACTGGCTTAAAATTAAATAACAACAGTAGGACAAACAATTAATTCTGAAGTCCATCAGACTCCTGGTATCAGTTTGACAACGATAAATACTTCAGTACCTACATTTTGAGACCATCTGTGAGGTTAGCGAGCAGTGATTTAATAGCGAACCAGGACACGCATGACTACATTCACATGGATACATGGGCGGGGTAACATACCTTCTCGGTACGCTCCGCTACATTCATCCAGGTGTAGAGTGTGCGCACGTGGGCGTGGACCGCGGCGGGGTGAGGCGCTGTGCCTGCCCTCTGCCGGGCAATCACCATCTCCAGGCCCTCGCACAGCGAGCTCACAGTGGGATCACACAGTGTGATGAGGTCATCAGGGAGAACCTCCGGGATTCCCCCTACGCGGGTGCTCACCACCTGCGGTCACACACACGCACAAAAATGATCATATATTATCATGTGGCCATAGGGAGCTCATTCTGCTAGCCATGAGTGGATACATGGGCGAAGCACAGGCCATGTACCTGCAGTCCACAGCTAGCGCCCTCTACGATGGCCATGCAGAAGGCCTCCGTCAGCGATGTGTTAAGGAAGATGTGGCCTTGGACTAAGACGTTCCTCACATCCTTATGCTCCAGAGCTCCAAGGAGACGGACCCTGGACCATGAATATGGATCATGTTAAAACATGAGAAGCTAAACCCTTGGCAGGGGAAAGTAATCCAGGGCAGTGCTTCCTAACCCAGTCCACATTTTTGCTCCCTCCAAGACAGTCCACATTTTTGCTCCCTCCAAGACAGTCCACATTTTTGCTCCCTGCCAGACATTCTATACTTTTGCTCCCTCCTAGCTCCATGGACTGGGTTGGGAAACACTGATGTACGGTATGGTTTGCGCTCTCCCCCTTTCCCACCCTACCTGTCATGAAGCTGGTACTTCTCTCTCACCTCCTCCAGTACTAGCCGTTTGGGTCCCTCTCCACCAATTAAAAAATGTAGATCAGGGTATTTTAGGCACAGGTTGGGTATAATTCCACCCAGCAGGTCTATTCCTGTAATAAGATCAGGAGACCATGTTATGATTTATGTATGTAGAGATGTGTTTTGAAAAAGGGGAAGTGTTTAGAATATAGCCTCACCCTTCCTGTAGACAAGCCGGCTAACCACGACAACTGTTATTTTGGTGTCGTCCCTTCTGGACGGGTCTGGGGTGAAGTCTGAGGGGTCCACGGCATTGGGAATGACGGAGACAATCATGGGGTCTAGGGCAGCACGCAGCACGGTGTTCTCCTTGCTGGTGAAGGAGACGCAGATGATGTGGTTGGTGTCACAGAGGGACACAGTCAGCAGCTTGTTGGTCAGCACCGAGCTCACGTCGGCAAAGCCGAACAGCGAGTGGTCTGTGAACACTGTGGTCAGACCCATGGTCTTGGCGTGGAACAGTGAGTCGTGCGCCATCGCTGAGAAGGAGCTGTGTGCGTGGACCACTGTGATCCTTTCTCGGACAAAGACACAGCGGAGGAGAGGTAGGCTGTGGAAGCATGTGGTAGCCGTGGACTGGTTGTACATCACCTGCAGTGGCAGGTAATAGACTTTGAGGCCGTTGGTGAGGTACCGGATTCCCTTTCGGTTCCCATACGCGTGGGTGACAATGACCACCTTGTGCCCCTTCTTGATCAGACACTGCGAAAGCTGGTATATGTGGCTTTCGACGCCGCCCATGTTCGGGTAGAAGAAGTCGGACACCATGCACACATTGTGCTTAACGGAGCCATGCAGACCAGCAGCAGCCCCGTCGGAGGTCCCGCTGGCCAGGGTGCCTTTCAGTCTCGCCCTCTTTCTCTGTCCCATGATCCCGATTTCTGCCGGTGCCGGTCCAAAAGGCGTTGGTTACAGTATCGTTTTGACAGCCCTGCAACACCCATTAAATGTCATCAGGTTTTACGAAATACTAGGCGTTCACGTAGACTGCTAAAAGTCCCCGTAGTCTGGCTAACAAAATCGAAGATGGCTATCTATTTAACACAAGTTTCATGAACCTAAGACAATGGTTTAACAATGTAACCATATACCAAAATTCAGCATTAACAGTCTATAGAAAGTACGGAGGGTTTTATTTCACTATACAGCTAAAGATGAGAAATCTGCCATAGGAATGAGCAAACAACGCATCGTCCAGCGAGACAGCCCTTACCAAGTTAACGTCGTTGTATGTTAATTTCCATAGCAAAGCCGGATTTTCTCCTCCTACGCGAATTCTCGTTCAGATTATGACCTAAATGAAACGTCCATGTGTGTGTAAATAACTCATCCGCACTCATCATATCTCTCATCCTGCATAAATCCGACCCTACAGACTCATTTCACTCCTTAAAACGCGCTGGATATCGCTGCTGGTTTTCCGCACTGTGACTGAAACCGCGGCCGCTCTGACGCCGACCCACCGCGGATCGGACACGCGGAAACAGACACGGTCCGGTTCATCTGCAGGATCCTTCCGTCTATCCGTAGTACTTCCGCAGGTCACTCGCTGCAAACTGTCATATGGCGAAAATGCGATTTCGTCGTCCTAGGCGTTGTCAGATTTTTTTTTCCACATCGCCGAATAATTTCAGCATAATTCCTTTAAAATGTCTTTTTAAATTTTATTGAAACATATCTAAAACAGCATCTATATAGAAATGTATCAGGGAGTGTTTTGCCGTGTTCCCTGGTGGTCTAGTGGTTAGGATTCGGCGCTCTCACCGCCGCGGCCCGGGTTCGATTCCCGGTCAGGGAATAACGATTTTCGTGAAGAGGATTTCAGCTTAGCAATTAATTGTGAGAAAGAGGTGAAACAACTGAGGTCAAGCAACCAACAAAAATACTTTATTTACTCAAAATTAAATAGGGAAGCTTGAAGCATTATAAAAATAACTTTAATAAGAAATATACAGGTTTTTTCAGTGCATAAATGACATTCATATGAACAATTTATATAACAGCACAATCAACAAATGTGTGTTAAATAATTTAACACGGTCATATTCTTGTAAGTCATCAATCTGTGTAATAAAATATGCATAATACCATTTAAATAGCCCTATGAATAAATAAACAGTCTGTCTTTGTGTTTGACCCTTCTTTCAAGCCTTGTAGAGACTGAGGGGAAAAGTCACTTGCAGCTGAAATAAAAAAGCTTAATGTAAAAACTCTACAGGAATAAAACAGGTGTACCAAAAATACAAACCAAAAACTAAAAGGTGCTACATGAGAGAAACGTCACATTTAATTGAATGACAGGCAGGTATAGAAAATGGATGGGTGAAATATTGTAGAATTGCAACAGCAGCACAAGGACTGCTTTTTTACAGCTGATTTTGGATCGCAAACAAGCTGAAAAATGTTGTGACGCATGCATAAAGGTGACACAGGGATCCGTCTGATACTCGAAGAGATGTTACCTGCACAAGACTGAATTGAACCGTCTGCTTTTCTCCGAACAGGAAGCAGGATTTAAGCGGCAAGCGTGTCTGAGCCTGGTGCTGTTATTCACCACGCAGTCACACTGATCGATATCAATTTCACAATCAGACATCCGATGACTGGCAGAAAATTCTAGAAGGGAAACAAAAACGGAAGGAATCAACATCCTCTCATTAAAAACTCCAAAAGCTTCTATCGGATTGATATCAGACTCGTAACATCTCCTAACATTGCATGAGTGACGTAGAGTAAAATGTAACTTCTGTAAGGACCAGATGTGCAACACCATATAGCCATTAAGAATAACAACATTAAGGGTAATACTAAACAACTGTGGTCATCCAACACCGGTGCAGTTAGCTACCCAGCGCTCTTGAGCGGAGCACACCGTGTTTTCTGGATGGGTATGGAACACATCTGTCTGATGTACAGTCCCATATCTGCCCACTTGGGCAAAGCCTGCTGGGGCCCTCGGAACCGGAGCTGTGCAGAACAGGGTTGCACCTGCAAAGAGCCACAGCTGTACGTCAGATACCCTGAGTGCAATATCAAATGCTCCCACGCTGACACTCTATACTTCGTTAAATCGAAAGACACAGAACATCATTAACCTCTAGGAACAATTATTTATCCTTTAAACAGTTACTTCCTTCTTCTTAAATGTCAACTGTGTTGCATCTTTATCTAATACACTATCCGGTGAAATGGCAAATATGTAGCATATATTTCATTTGACGTGATGCTGGAATGATAATGACAACCTGCATTTTCTCTGACCTCCGGACCGCTGCCCTTACCCGCTTCGCCCCTGGGTAGGAACGTGCCTTCGGATGAGTGCGGGCTCCATGCACTTGCACTCTGTGTGATTGGCGACCTTTATCAGCACTGGCTCTGGTCCATATTTAAACGGTATCACCGTCAAGAGCTGTGGAGGACTGAATGTTACACAGCATCTGACAAAAAAAATCTCCTTCACAGGAATGTCACTAAATCAAAGCCCTTCAGAGGAGAAAAGACACTTTTAGGTCATACAAATACACATCTGAAGTTCTCAAATCTGTCATGTCCATTACTGTCAACAGAAGGCAATTACCCAAGCTTGTTAAACAGAAAAGAACTCACAGTTTTGTTCACATAAGTCATGCTTGTGTTTTTGCATGATACACCCTCCTTGTTGCAACAGCCGCTGCACCTAAAGACGGACACGCATGGCGGTTTGAAGAACATGCTGGTATGGGTGCCCAGCTCCTTGGCTACATCCACACACGTCTCCCTGGGCATGCACTGGGTCTTCTGCCACTCCTCATCAATTGCTGAGACACATAGATAACACGGTTGTGGGTGCAGCACACAAATGAATCAAAGCTGCAGCCATGACTAGTTGAAATGATTTTGCATCTTTTTGCTTTTTGCGCTTGTATATTAATTGCCTCCTTGGCGCTGAATCTACATGAACTGGCAGCTCGTCACCTTGCAGGATCTCCAGGTTGTAGGTCGCAGCAGCGGCCGCGTAGCGAGTGGATCGACGCGAGTCCGTGCTCGCGGGCGTCTCGAGGTTCCTCAGCTTGAGGCGGCACTTCCAGAGCTTCCAGTCGGGAAAGTCTGTGAGCATCAGCAACTCCTCCAGGCTTGAGGCCGACCTCACGTCCCTCTCCCACTTTTCCAGGTTCCCTGTCTGTCAGGGGGGTTACAAAGCTCACATTCTGAGGCTTGGACTACGGCTGTGGATTCAGAAAAACGAGTAAGCACGATGTACGTCGCCATAGCATCTTGAGGAAGCCCACCACCTATCTGACAGAACATCTTTAATTAATTATTATTTATTGGTTATTAATTAATAATAATCAATTTAATTAACTAGTTTTACGAGTCAATCCATCAGTCAAGCTTTCCGTTTTATCAGTGACGACCACCACGTCATCCATTCTAACGCGTTAGCGCAGTATTTTTTTTATATAGAACAGTTAGGAAACGAGTAAATTGAAAGTTGAGTGGTTTTGACCACATATATCGATTAAAGAAAAGTGGAAAAGCTTGTATCTCACTTGATATTTGAAAATTATCTGCGTGTATTACAGCGTTAATTCCTAGGGCTCCACAAGAGGGCGTCACATTCTCACGCCGTATAAAATACATAAAGAACACGACATATCATTATATATATTGCGCACTGGAAAATTTACTGGAAAATTTAACACACATATATATATATATATTTTACAAATCTACCAGTCTAACAGTAATCATTCACTTAATGCAGATTCAGTTGATTTCTTGCATCTGTAACAGAAAGTTGGCTTTAAAACTTGGAATCAGTGCAAGCCCTTTTCCCTACTTATGAAGAGGGTTTGGCTCAGTGCTGGGTACTTTTCAGCCACATATTCTTGTAAACAGCAGGTAGAAAGTTTTGCATCTGCTGTGAACATCTGCGCATTACAATAGACAAAACTTACTCAATTTCGGACCTTCACATTTTACGATTGCTCCTGTTCAGATGGAGGAGCTGGATCCGTGTCTCAGTGCCTTTACCAATCATGGACAGGCGTTCCACCCTGACATTTGTTCTACACAACAAAATAGCATCCAGCTCAATTCGCCAGCTGAAAACAGGGCTTGCCTTGACTTGATTCCAAGCTATTCCTTACATAAGACATGTTAGGATAAAGTCCTGGGACATTCCCACACAATGAGGACCGGATAGAAGTGTGGAAGCTGAATGGGTTTAATGATGAGATTGGCAGCAGTGTTAATGGGGGATAATCACCAAGCAGCTAATGAACTGCAGATGTGCACGGGTGCTCTGACGTCAGACCTTCACAAAAGGCAGTGCGCCCCACACCAGTGCTTTGTCACGTGTTGGATACCCCGCCGCTATTTTCTGCCATGATTTTATTGTGCCCCTCCACTGCATTTGTGATATTAGTTGTGTAAAAAGGAGTATAAAACACCTACAATACTCCATCCCCTGGGGAGTTCTTTTCGTAACGACATCATGGCCTAAAGAGGACGAAGATGCTGATTTCTGGCGTATCCACAAAGATGTGCCTTCAGGTCAAGTACTGAGCGCATGTGAGACGAGCAAAGCGCAGAACATAAGGCAAAGCAGGGTGGCCTGTGATTGGGGGCAGGACAGGATGTCGTGAGATTTTCAGCTGGTCTGCTGTACTCTTCCCGGCCTACACGATGCATGAATCTGCTGATCCGTTCAATGTGCAAGGGTGGTGCAGCCTGCTTCCACTTTAACCGGACGAAGTATGAGGGGGGAAGAATTTGAGGATTAAAAACAAGGGAGTTTTTCATTTGTAGTTTAGCCTAGGAGCAGGCGGAAAGCACATTAATGGGATGTAGTGTGGCGACTGCGGAACAGAGGGCATGCAACTCAATGTCTATGAACCCAAAAAACATCATCCTAGTCAATCCACAGAGCTGCACTTCCTGTCCATAAACTAAGGCAGTTCCTGTTTCAGGCAAATTGGTGACCCCCTCCCTGACACTGACTCCCTTTAATTCAACGGACATCACTTATGCATGCACCACAAAGGCCTGTATACCTGTAATACTCTTTTTTTGTGAGGTGTATTGATTTCTCAAAGATTATTTTTTTGTCCCCAGTAATGCAACCTGCTTTTTCTACATCCATCTGCATATCCATCTTCCAGCCACTTATATTAGTCAGAGTTAAAGAGTCTGTGCTTTTATTAGTTTTCTCAGTGCTGTCATTTTGAGTATGTTATGTTTTCACGTTAACAAAATTATAGAAAATTAGCAATCTGTGCAGATATTTTTCCTTAAAAAGTACTGTAACCTTTTAAGCTATGTTGGCTGACCAGCTAACACAGGGGTTGGGTTGTATTAGCGCAGTGACATTTAATCTTTATCGTTCCTCTATCTTTGAAACCTGTGAATAAAAAACCCTGTTATGAAGTCAGAACCATATTCTTGCTCGCCAGCCACCAAAAAACAGGACAGATGACTTACCCTCTGAGTGCTCCGGAGCCCGCCTGTCTGTGCCAAACTCACATACAACACCAGCAGATTCATCACCAAAACCACGGCGTATGTCTTCATCGTTCCTGGAGCGGTCTGGGCTGGGACCAGCTGGAGGGGCAGTTACATAGCCACTGAGAAGGGGAGGAGTGGGTGGGGGGTTGTGTGGGCGGGGGGGGGGTGGTGGGGAGAGTAGAGGCCCCAAATGAGTGTGTAGAGTTCCTTGGGCAGCATGTGCATGTAACTTGGGGTACATGCCAGCCTGTGGATGTGGACCCATTTGAAGGGAATGGGTGCCACTGGGAGATGGCATAGAGGCGCTCTGGAGCATGCCCAAAGACCGGAGACGTCTGTAGAGCTTCAGGTCCAAGGGCAGTTTATCAGGGAAAACCAGAGAGCATCCTAATAGATACATCACAGCTGCATCCAGTCAACCTCAGAAGAGTAAAGATCCAAAACACCAGGAGCAGGCATATAGGACGATGGGTCAAGGCACGGTCAGAAAGCGGAGTTTAGTGCCCCTCCTGCATGGCCAAAGGCTTCTTCCATCTTCCCTAAGTCACTGGATCCACCATCTCTGTTTTTCCAGCCTCAGCTCATGGGGAAGCGTAGAGGAACATGTGGTGTAAATGAGATCCAGACTTTGCAAAATAGGCCTGGCCTCCCTCAGCTCTGAACCACCCAAACAGGGAGAAGTGTGTTCAGCCACTGGGAGAAGAGAGTCGGAAACAGGCTGATTTGCTAACGATGGACACCACTATTATTCTCTCAGCAGCAGTTAAGAGCTGATCTTCTGTGTAATACTCAGAGCTACTGTAATTAGGCAACTTTAGTGGTTCGCATACTATGAAGGCACACTGATTATTACACACGAGGCATGATTTATTAAATATCAACACATTCATCTGTCACCGAGTCCTACTCCAGGTTCCAAAGGAAGGGTTTAACTGCAGAGCCCATCTAACACCATATATTACACAGTGCTCTCATAGACAAAAATTCAACAGTGAAACAGCTGTATGATGTTGCAATTCTTTTAAAAATAGTGGTTTCATACATTTTCTTTCTAAATGAATTATAGACAAATTATATAAAAAGATATATTACACCATAGCTCATTTAGTTTTATGTAAAGATATAAGAAGCCAAATTTATCAACCCATTAAGATCAGGCTCTATAATTAAAGTTACATTAATATAGCACTGAGATTAATGTTCAAGAACACACAGTGAGTCTTTCATTCTTCAACATGGTTACTAGTAAACCTAGTAGTAGCTAATTCAGGTATTCCCTATTTTTGATCGCCAATATTTTGCCCCCTCAAACCCATTGGTCCAAGAACGAAAGTCCTTGATTGCTTGATTGATTTCTTCTTCTGTATTCATAACAAAAGGACCTTAAGGAAACCAAAAAAATACACATTGGTTAGCTCTTGTAACCAGACCAGCTTTAAAGCTTATCAAGAACAACTATAGGTATACAGTTTTAATTCAAATTGTAGACAGCAGTTTCATACAATACAAACAGCACCCACCCATTCTCCCAAGTAAAAATGAAAGCTACTCTACCTTGTTGGACAATGGGTTCATTGATTGGTTCTCCAGCAATCAGCACAAAGTGGCAAAGTTCAGATCCCTAAAATATTAGAAATGGAAAAAAAATGGAAATTTACTTAAAACAGCCCAACAAGGCTATGCGGTGGAGAAAATGAAGTGTAATAAAACGTAATGCAATATAATTAAACTTTGGTCACCATTATGCTGTGTGCTACACTTGTACCTTATTTTCAACGACAACACAGTCACCATCATCCAACACCACTGTGTGATGAGGGTCTATTTTCCTCTGATCAGTTTCAGGACCTTCAAAGGAAACGGGGAAAACTCAAGTTAAACAAACTCACGTTATTCTCTGCCTCAGGGATATTCAGTTGGACCAGGAAGGCCAAAGAGCGGCATCTGCTGCTTAATGAGAGGACGTGTAACATGGAGGGGCCCTCTTTGCTCTCTAACTTCAAAGCCACGCAATCAGCACGTGGTGAGATATTTCCTATTTACCTGATTATTGTTCTCTTTTATGACTCGTACACCTTATGGGGGGTCTGCTAGCGGGATGGTTCACATTATTCTTACTCACCAACATAGAGGCATCCAGAAAGAGTGTAGATGAATGATGTCCACCCTAGGAAAAAAAAAATCTAAATAAATGAACCAATTAACCTGCTGGCAAATTCTCCAAAAATAAGTTTTTGACCAAAAAAGCAACATAGAATGTCGAAATTTGATTCATATTCCTTTATTTGACTTTAAAGCTCTCTGATTGTAAGAAGACCAACTGATTGATTTTGAACTTCTATTGGTACAATTGTCAAATTCAGATTCTGGATTTTTTTTCTTTATTACGTCATATCAAGCCCACTTATCAAATCTGTTGACACAATTTAAACATATGATGTCAACTCCTAACCATCTAGGACACGATTTAGCATTTCACGAGTAATTGACACTTTCCAAAACGCAACATTAATTCCATTAATCGTTACAGGCACCATGGCAGCATCGGTAACAGGATCGCAGTGACCGACAGCGTGCTCTTGCACTCGAAAACAAAGAGCCTTTGACAGAACCGTGACTGCAGGGCACCCAGTGAGAGGTCAGAGGTGACGTCCGATTTTGAGAAAATCTGGGGTTATGTTAAGGCACAGATTCTGAGCTTCTGCTGGGAGTCCTAGAAGGCTTGCACACCTTGTTGGTAGATTTGGAAACTGAAGACAGATTTGGAGCACTTTATAATAAGCATAAAAATGTGGATCTCATTTTAATAGAATTCAAATGTGTGCTGCAGATTTAAGTCTGCCTGTTTACAGAAATCGGGTACCATGATACATGATACTGAAGTACTTTAAAACATGTGGCCTTTTATTATTCATAATCATTCCTCTGATGACATGTTTACTTCACCTGCTTGTAGGAGGTTTAGTACTTTATTCAGGGAGAGAGCTGAAGGGCCCAGTAAATGTCATCACGCCAGCAATGTTCAGGTTACAGATTGCATTTCCTCGACCACAGCCATACTCAGTAAAGTGATATCATTCGGACCAAAGAGGATGCAAAACAGATACTCATTTTGAGGAGTAATTTCCGTTATAGTTAATATGTAAGATATCATTTAAGACATTTTAAATTTTTTTAGAAAGTTGATTCCGCTCTCACCTAATGCCACTGCTTGAGTGTGCTTTGCGCCAGAATCCAGTTTAAAGTCAAGATAAGTTGTTGGGGTTCTTGTGTAGACTTTGGACTACAAGAAAGGAAAAGGAGTTGGACAGAGTTCTGAAGAAATAAACACAGACATTAGGCATTGCATGATATTATTTATCTGACTGGAAGACATCCATATCCAAATGAACTTCATTGCTTCCAGTGTCCAATTCTTGCTTTTCCCTCTAAGTAATATAGCAAGAAATTACCACAGGTTACCATAGTTTAACGTTCGTGAGTAGAAATGTAAACAGAAAACAAAACAAGACTGAATATTGTAAATTTAGATGCAGAAAAGCCCACTTTATTATTTTCACTGAAGTTAAAGGTTCTGTGCCAGAGTTTTTAATTTGGACCATTTTCCCAGTGACGCACAAAGTCATTAGTCTGCATACTATGGACTTTTACAGCTGCTTTGGGACGGGCAAAGGTGCCATTCAAACACTGCAAATAAGAAAGAGTGTTACTCTTAAGAACTAATCCAATAATGTAAACAGTCCCCTCATTGAAGCATTTATGAGAGCGTGGATGGCTCTGCCCTTTGAGTCTCACTTACAGGCAGTGGCAAAAACCCTCCAGCAGTACTACTGGCTGTACGACCTCTGACCCCCGACTAAATTACAGCCAGTGCATGTGAGCGCACAGCCATGCTAACGGCCTTTCGGTGTTATGGCGACGTCGGGGGATTACAGCAGTCACACCACGAGGGCCCCGACATGGAGATCCCACCGTCACAGGCCCTGGGAAAGGGGAAGCAGGGTGTCTGGCCTGCATTAACCCTGGCAATTGTATTAAACTTCTTCTGCCCCACACAAGCCCAACAGGAAGACGCATTAGCATTTAAACCATTAAAAGCACATTTCCACATAAATCTGTTTCCCATTTCCTGGCCGGGCTCGGAGCAGGCTGGAGCGAGGACACTACTGTGATTTCAATTAACGTGGACGATTTCAGATAATAGATCATAGGCCCCAACTCTGCAGTTACACCGCAGAGGAGCGTTAAGATGGCAGCCGAGTTTTTAACTTCGAAAGCATAAATCACGCTTGGTGCTGCTCACAGATATAAATATATAGAGTACAGACGAAATGTGTCAAATTCTATGCTTAATTTCACTTTGAACGAGTACTGAATAACAAATGACAGGTTTAACAATCCAAAAAGTTCCAAGCCTCTGCTTGTAATAAAAAGCAAAATTATAACTTTTATAAAGAGAAGAAATATTACAGTAGTTAGTTATATTTTGAAGCAACTTTCCATTTTGTCTGAAGGAATTACCTACTTATTTTCTGTAAGTGGCATGTGCTTGTGAAAAGACCACCAATCATTTCACAGTCTCACAGTCTCAGCTAAAACAAATCAAGACCTTCTTTTACAATATGGGCCTACAGGCTGGAGACGCAGATCATTTCTTAGTGTATGTAGTTGATACAGCTTCTACATTTACGTTTCTGTGTAATCAAGCATCTTAAACATACACAAGCCCCATCCTCTCTTCCCATCTCGCACTCAGTTATGATGAGGTGTTTTGTACTTCCCCATCACCATATGCGAAGACGCACTTATATATGAGGCCTCACCTTGACTCCCAGTCCCTCCCCAGAGATGACGGCCACGGTAACTCCTCCCTGGCTGGGCTTAGGCACATCCCTGCTCTTAATCTCCTGGTACTGTGGCTCCACCATCTTGTCAGCTGCTCGGAGGTTCACCCACAGCTGGAGACCACAGACGGGCTCATCGGACACGGGCATCTCCGCATGGACCACCCCGCGGCCCGCCGTCATCCACTGCCCACACAGACAGACCCTCGCATTACGGCCGGGCATCCATCAACCATCGACTGACCGGCAAACACCATGTGTCCACTGCACATCTCATAGTCGTTGACAGTCAAACTCAACTCAACAGCACATTACAGTTGAAGGTCTTCATTTATTACTTTGCGGAAAACGAAAATATGATCTGCTGGCCAGGATTAACATTGAAATGAAAACATGTTGAGGCTGGAACTTCAAGAATTCCTCTTAGCAGAGCCGCTACCTGTCATACTTTACAGGAGTGTCTCATATTGTAAAATAAAACGCTGATTTCTCCTGTTTGACAGATTTAATCATCCCTTATCTCTTCCTTTTCAAAGTGGCTCCCTTAATTCTAAGTGGTAAATGATTAGACAGAATTCCTAGTCTTCCACTACGGAAAATGCAATCGCCACCGTTATTTTCATAGTTAGGCGTTTAGCTGTGGTGCTGCTAATTTTTAATACTGATAAAGTTTAAATGTCGGCCAAGATACTGGCATCTTAATTTTTAACAAATATCAGATGATTCCGATATGTGAACTGAAATATCATGCATGTTTACAGACACCTTGTCTTGTTAGAAGGCATCCCTTAATGAGGTCATCTTGTTCGCGAGCTACCAAAGACGACGATCTTTGTGGTTAGTGTGAGCAATTCTGTTGTGTACCAGGGAAATAAGACTACTGACCGGTTAATTATACACATTTGAGTGAAAATCTCTTTTTGTATCCTGTGTGCACTCAGGCATCACCTGCAGATCCCCAGGGCCGAGTCTTCCACTGTGTCCAGAGCTGTCCTCATGAGCAGAAACGCCCTGTAAGAGGTAGGTCACCTACACGAGGCCACCGTGGAGACCATTAGAAGCACAGCCACAAAGGGGGAAACTGCTGTTACGGAAGGTCTTCACGTTTCCATGGTGACCGTGTAAAACATTTGCATGTTCATGTTGATAACAGCCAGTTTTTAAACATTTAACCATTATGTTTCATAGAGTGATCCCCACACAAAAATTCCAGAAAACACCATAGTTTAGTTTGTTAAAATATGCCGCAAAAAAACGATGCGAACAGGCTGAAGGGTATGTGCCAGGGTGACGACTTGACTGGACAGACACTTACGGTTTCAAATCCCCTGTGAGGGTGGTCAGGAAACCCAGCCGGCTTGCTAACATTAAACTCGTCTAACATCAAAAACGGATCCAAGTTCCTCAGCTGTAACCAGAGAGAAAGGTGACTAAGCAAAAAGGAACCATCCAGGAAAAAGGTGACATCTGTATATGACACGGCCGTCGCAGTGAATCTGCCACGCGAAGTATGTCCTGCAGACCAGGGTACGTTTCGATAGGGGGCGCCTGTGATCCAGGGCACTAGCGCTCACCTCCTTTCGGCCGATACTCCGGCGGACGCGGGCCCCGTCACCCTCGTCCTGCTCCACACTTAGCACAGTCTTCACGACTCTTCTTGCTCTCATGGCGCGCAAACTTTAGAAATCTGCCTTACCTACTGAACATGCAGTTTAAAACATAGCACTGTATGTCGTACGGAATTATAGCAATTAAACTTGACAACGAAATATGCAATCTAATTTAACGTTTTTGTAAGGTAGTCATAGTTTTAACAAAAAGCAATAGGGTTGCCATTTATTATTACGGATATTACCACGAACAAAACTGTTACTCTCACCTTAGTGGTACCACTAAATATTAAAAAGAATCATTACAGCAGAGAGAATTTGCTTAAATAACTCACTGCCAAATTTGGTCCGGTCGGCTCTCTTCGTTACTAGGATTGTTGCACGTACAAGTGCCAAGATGTGGTCAAACCGGACTGTCAGGTGAATCATACCTGTTTGGCTATATGATCTCTCTGAGTCATGAAGGTTCCTCTGGACTTAGTTACGCTGCTGTAAACAAACAAAACGAAACGCAGTACGTCTGTAAGCTTCGCAAGTTAACTTATATGAAATATTTAACATCACGTGTATGATTTATAGCTACATCGGCGCAATGCATAAACTGCAGAGTCACAGAGCTACATCAGCATCTCTGACATTTTTGCGTGCATGTACCACGGTGTGCGGTAGGTTGTTTCCTGATACGAAGATCGCAGCCAGTGCGACATTGCACTCGTCGCGCGCCGAGTGTGCTATCTGCGCATGGGCGGAAATGGTCAGACACTAATCCCCGAAAGTCCACAATGAGGTGCGTGTTTTCGAAGCAAGTTATTTTTAATGCACTACTTCATATGTGGTGGAGGTTGCAGGTCGGTCTTCTGTCTGGTGAGAGCAGAAGTAACGCATTACTGACACCGATTTTACGGGCCTGTTGACAGTGCTAACAAAATCTTTCAGTTATGATGAAATAAACGTGTATAATAACAAGAATCGCAATTATTAACTTGTGTTTAATAAATCGCGCTGGATGGGAGTGACCTAATATTAATTTTGGCAGGGTTTTTGAGAACGCTGTTCTGACAATCGTTTGCCAAGTCGTTTAGCTGAACATCTGGTTGTATCTTGGTTTCTTTTTTAATTAGAAAAGAACAATTTCCCCCTTGCCAAAGTCCCTGTAAAAACTGTTAAAAATCTTTGTTCTGTCTCATGACCTACTTTCTTCAACCATGATGCCCTTGAACGACTTAGGGTTGCTATGAAAGTATACTTTATTAATGAGAAATGGTGCTAGGGAAGCTGGAAAAAAATATTTTTTATTATTTCTTGTGATACGTTTTAATCAAAAACATAAACAAAGGATGTGCACTAATGATGCATTTTTTCACTTCTGAAAAAGCTCCAGAAAAAAAGAAATCACACCAGTACAGGCAAATTAAACCGACTACAGTGGTGTGCTTTCTTACACTGCTGTGTGCTGTCAGACGATAGCGCAGCACCTGGAGTGCAAAATATTGTATTGTCTGGCAAAATGTACACCCACAGTCGGCCTGGAGATGGGAAAATGCACAGACATTCCTCCAGGATCTGAAACACAAGGAAGTAAGTTGAAGACTGGAAGCAGGCAAGACCATAATTTAGAAGTAAGTATTAATGTGTAAGCAGGCAGTCCTGGTTTCTGAGCAGTTTGCAGGCAGTTGTCACCCAAATCCTGTTGTCTGTCCAGTGCTGTTGTTTAGAGGATGTTTCCAGGTATGGTTTCAGTAGCTCCATGTTGCGACCGAGACCAAGCATTGGAAAGTGGGTTACTGAAGAAGAGCAGAACAAGACCCCTTGATTCCATCCACCCATCTGTTCTCTTCCTCCTTGCCTCATCAGAGTCTTCAGTGCATTTCAATGTTCTCCACTGTTTTTGTCACAAGGTGACATGACTGTGTTGTGTGTTGGCCGAAGGTCTGTTTACAGGGGTCATTGTGGCTCAGAGGTCTGTAACAGAAGATGTGTTAATAAACAGAGTTGAGGGATGTGTAAAGTGTAAAGCTCCCAGGTAGGAAAGCAAAAATGTGGACTGTCTGCCGGGGAGCTGGGGGGGGGGGGGGTGACTGACTGACTGTGGGTCGCTGAAGACCGGATTGGGAATCACTGATCTAAGGGAAAACTTTCACTGAAGATAAACAGGTAAATGGATGTTTTCAAAATAACAACTGAAAACCCAAACTAAACCTATGCCCAATTTGGCCGCATGCTCTGTTCATTAAGACCTTTAAACTCTACAAGCAGAGAATGCAAAGATAAAGTCTCTCCCCGTCAGAGATGCTACACAATCAAAATTTCCATCATTTTTGCCCCACATGCTTACAAAATCATTACCCTTTTAATGAAGCCCAGACAGGTATACTCACAGCAAATCCGCCATCAGATCTAGACGGAGCTATTCCCCTACACTCCGACCATAGTATGCATTCATACAACCAGCAAACCATGCTTGATATTTCCTTAATGGGTTTGCCCAATTTCCCTTATTAGAAGCTGACAAAACAGACAATATATTACCACATTATTGTGCATACCAATAAATTTTAATTGCACATAAATGTTCAATAAATCAATCAGTTGTGAGAAACATAAATAGGCCATATGCATTCAACATATAACAATTTACTTACTGTATTTTATATAGTTTGGCTGGGAATGACATAACCTCAAGGAAAATATGCTGTGGTTTTAGTTACTATTTCCCCCCCCCCTCCCCCCCAAAAAAAATAAGGCACTGTCAACCTTTGGATTTAAGGCTTTAACGTCATTTTAAATAGCAAGAACAGATGTTTTGAAGTGAAATTATCGGTAGAGGAAAGTTTAAATGTTCAGTCTCTGTGACTGGCACGCTGATCACAGTAGCAGTCGGTTTATCTTATGGGATGTTAATCATTTAAATTTAGATGGATCAGAATTATTCCCAAAAGCAAAGGCCATGGCAGAGCAGGTATGTCATTCAGGAAGAGATACTGCATGGGAAGTAACTGCATGGGAAGTAACTGCATGACTGCATGGTCTGAAAGAAGATTCCCGTTGCACAAGCTCAGTTGATATATGCACGGCAGTTATGTAAGATGATAAACAATCCAGACATTAATCATTTAAGCAGGAATCTGTTTCGTGGGGGGAGGGGGGGGGCACGGCTCATGATTTTAGGTATTGATGAGCTCTGTGAATCTCTTGAGACACCCAAGAAGCCCCTGTAATAACAGATGGGCTTTATTGACACCCCTCTCCTGTGATTGTCACCGCCCACAAATCGCCATGGAAGGAGCAGATGTGTGTGTGTGTGAGAAGTCATGACACTGCCTTACAAAGGCTTTGCTCATTGTGCAACTGTAACAGGTAGGCCAGGCTGTCACCTTAAAGCCTCCCTCCACAGGGGGGTGATGGACCACCAGTCTCTTGACATTACCCATGTTCAACTGCTTCTACTGTGGGGAAGATTCTCAGACCATGCCCCGTGCAGCTCGCATACAAGACGGGGCAGTCTGGCAAAGATTTTCATAATTCATTTTCCTATAGGCCTTTAGCAATAAGTAAACAAGTGCTACAACACAATGAAAACACATAGTTTACTTGGGAAAGACTTCAGAGCATGTGTTGGGTGGGATTATGGTTTGTTCTGTTACTGATTGGTTTAACCTGCTTCCTATTGATCCAATGAGGCAATACTGGTAATCTTGCCTGCCGTAACTTTCAAACTGCAGTTAATTTATTGGACAGACCAGCCTATGTATGTAAATCATTTTTGTGGGTGAACCACCAGGTTGTGCTGTGATCCTGTGGGTACATAAAATGCACTATAAGCTGCATACAGTCCTCTAGGAAGCCCTCCCCCCCCACCATGAATGAATGAATGAATGAATGTTACATTTATATAGAACTTTACAGAACCACTTAAATCACTGTGTGGCCCCCACCTGGATGATGTGACGGCAGCCATTCTGCACCAGTACGCTCACCACAGAGTAGCTATGGTGGTGAAGGGGCAGGAGAGGATTCACCAGTTATATAGAGGGGATGATTAGGAGGCCAGATTTGATATGGCCACAGTGGGCAATTTCACCCAGAACATCAAGGTACCACCCCTACTCTTTTGAAAGATGCCCAGGGATACTTTACAACCTCTGAGAGTCAGGACCTTGCTTTTAAATCTCATCCAAAGGGCAGAAGATGGCAGCCACTCAGGGTGTGACGTTGGCAGTCTGGGCCCATGTGAGAGCCATTGCCATGACAACCCTACTCGCCTCAATGCTTTCCCCAACATGCAGGAACATTTAATAGAACAACACCCTAGTGGGGGTGTCCCCCTTCCCCATGCCCCAGGGGAGGTCGTTAGCAGCAGATCACTACTGTACCCAGTTCCTCTTACTAGCTGCTCTTTCAGCCTGTACCTTCACACCTGCATGTGACAAATTTGTCATTTACCAACTATGTGCACTGATTTCAGCATCCGGACATTCAGTATACCGGACATAAGGAGAACCTTGATATCTATGTTTACTGTTTCACTTCTGTATGTTAAAATCATTGCATCCTGTCAATTACAAACACGCAGAGGACAGGTAAAAGTAGGAAGCCTTGCCTGGCTCTGGTCCTCACTATACTCTGAAGGTCACTATGAAATATCAATTCTTGATGATGTTAATAAGCTTGACTCCTACACCACAATGTCAGCGAACTTTCCAAGTGTCTCTCTGCCCAGACTCTCCGATTTTCATGATTGGTGAAACTGATGTAGAGTAGGAACTTTCCATCCCGTTGACTGCTAAGTCATCATGCTCAGTCTGTGCAGGGCCGGACTCTGCAAATGCCACCTTACTGGTCACATGGCTGACTGTCAGCGTAGCCTTTCATTCTGTTTGAGACGATCCTCTTGAACGATTTTTTCAGTATGGACATTAAGATCCTTGTGTAGTTCTCACAGTTGTTAAGCTTACCTTCCTTTGCAATCTTGATAAGGTTGTCTTTCCACACGGTACATCTGTACATTTTTCCTCTCTGATCTTCTCAAAGAGTAAGTGTAGTATTTCTATTGCGGTCTATCTGTCTGCCTCGAGCATCCCTTCACTGTGCTCTGTCAGTGATCATTACCTCCAACATTGCCACCTGGAGACGAGTGCATGCACACACATTTTCCTCAATGAGCTTCACGGTAAAATAGGTGGTTAATTACAGATTCCTCCCCTGTCGTTTTTCGCATCAGAAGCACAATATTTTATTGTTGACCATCTGTAGTACCAAAACATTGTGGTGTAACTTTTAGCTTTAAAGCACAATAAAATGTTTTGAATAGCCATTTATCTTGAGGTCAGTGCATGCAAAACACAACTATTTTGACACAAAAACAAGCACAATTCCTTTAGTGTGTAAAAGGAAAAGCAGGGAAAGTTGGAAGAAAGCAATAGAACTGGGAAAAATAGAAAAAGACTATAAAGTAATCTGTTAGGGTGATGCTTCACAGAACTGCAAAACCAAGGCTGCTTTTAGATACTGCAGGCTCCTGTTGGGTAGCCGGTAAGTGAGCAGTCTAAAAACTCACTGCTAACTTCATGTGCAGTTGTAAAAATGTTATTGAAATATCTGTGTTAAAGTTTTCAGTCCGAGCAGCAGGTAATAAAACACCCTGTAGCTGGAAAAGCCAATGCAAATAATCAGAGCGGGTGACATAGAAGTGTCCATTGTGAACATGCAAGTTTATCATTAATCAGAAAAACAAACAGGTGTCTGTTCCAAGCACAGCTTTTAGCATTGGCCAAGGGCGGCTGGGGGTGCACTACTGAAAGGCACCTGCTTCCTGATCTCGTCCGGGGGGTGGTGGGCCATGGTTATGCCTCAGTGATGTTCAAAGCGCTTGGAGTCTTGAGGGGCCTTTTTTGTCTTTTACCAGACATGATATGTTCAAGATTTTTCACCAGTGATGGAAGAGGAGCTTAGATCAATGAATGAATTAAAGAAAAAGGTTGACAAGAAGTAGTGATTCAGTAGTTTCTGCATGACCACCTCTGCTCACAGACACATTTTATTCGGACGGCTAAGATGGAGCCCAGTGTTGTCAAGGCGGAGGTCCTGATGAAAATGTCTCAACAGAAGAAAAGAATCTCCCCAAGGAATTACAAATACAGGCTCTTCGAACTCACCAGCAATTGCATAACCTACTACGAATATGAAAAGGGGGTGAGTATTTAACGTTCGAGTCAGATGCCAGTGCATGAAAGATGTACAAAAAGTAAGAAGGTGGATTTTAAATAGCAGATGTATTAACTATTCAGTTTTATTGTTTGAGGTCCAATAATCCTGCAAAAATGTAGATGGCCAAAATGCACATATAAAGTTTAATATTCCTAATTTTGCTATGTAGGCCTGAATAAAAATGTGGATATCTTTTGTAACTGTCATATGAATAAACAAAATTCCACCATGAAGCCTTAAAAGCCTTTTATCCGACTTAGGTTAGTTTTTTGGGACATTGTTAAGTGTAGTTGTCACATAGGAGGGCAAGATATGCCAGGGCAGGTAGAGCTCCAAAAATATTTAGAGAAATTTGCTAAGAAAACATAGTATGAATGCATGTTCTATATGATTTTTTGAAAGGAAATGAGAAAGACTTTTCAAGTAAAAGAAAGTCAAACTGGTCCCCCCACAGGGGACCAGTTCCATATTGATGCCTATGGATTTGGAATGGGACGTCATAAATGTTCCTGTGGGTGTAATGGCCAGGTGTCCCAATGTTTGGGCCCATATAGTGTATATCCAATGGGATCCCTCTGTCACAATGAGCAAGCAAACCCTATGCCCACCTTCAGCGCCTTCCCAGCTGTAGTCGACGATGGTGTCGGCTGGTCTGCTCACCAGTGAACATCTGGGCCCAGTGCTTCCTCTCTAACCCATTTATGTTATTGCCTAGAAAAAAGGAGCCATGAAAGGCAGCGTGGCGACTGACAGCATCTGCTGTGTGCAGACAGTGCAGCCTGAAGGCGATGCCCCTGTTCAGAGACAGTTCCCCTTTCAGGTACATAAAGCAGCTTCAGGTACCCAAACGAGGCTTCTGATTGGCCTCTGAATGTGCACAAGTGCTGCAACGATCTGCAGGGTTCCTCATCTACGAATGGCTCTTAGAGCAAAGTAGCAGGCCATGTGCATTTATAGTTCATTCTGAAGCCTTCTGTTCTTCAAATGTTGGCACTCTCTGAATCACATTAATGAACTCAAGTTCTTGTCCACAGCAGATAGTTTACGATAAAGGGATCCTGTATATTTTTGCAAAAGATGAAGACAGCCGGAGAAGCTGGGTGGGGGTGTTGAGCGAAGGTGAGGCCGTGCAGATTGACAGCGGCCATGCCAACAGCATCCCAGGTCTGCGTGTCATGGCTCGGCTGTGCAATGTTGGCATTTTGCAGGAACGAGGAACAACGCCAAGCTCATGGAGACGTACCACAGTGGTTTCTACATGGAAGGGAGGTTTCTCTGCTGTAAACAGACATCGAAAGCTTCCCCTGGCTGCACTCTTTACAAGGCAGGTTAGTGTGCGCACATCTCCATCTGCTGGTGGATGGTGGTATTGCATTTTAGTTTGTGCAAGTGAGGCACCAGTAAGAGAAGGATAAAATAAATAATAGATCCTTTATTTGCCATTTGTACAAGTACAGGTACATTGGCTTGGGTGTCACAGCGTAGGGTCAGCTAATATGCCGTGCCCCTGGAACTGGGGGTGATACACTATGAATTTATTCTCAAACGCTAATGGCTTTTTTTTCTCTCTCTCTCTCTCTCTCTCTCTCTCTGTATATTTAACTATCTGTAACATGCATATGCCTGCTGAATTTTTTTGTGTTTAAATAATTGCAGGTGAATCTGAAAATGCAACACCAGTCTTTAACAAAAGCCTACCACCTCTTCCTGGTTTGGAGGTAAATCCCAAAATTACTGCTGGCACATGGAGTTAGATTGCTGCGTGAGCTTGGACTGCAGTGGTTGGGCTGGACTGCCTGGGGCATGAACGGAGCTCGGTGGTGTTTGGGAAGAGCTGGACTGGACTGGGCTGGGGTATGTAAGGTTGCCAGCTAACTATTGTAGAGCTAAGTGCAGGCCTTGATGCCACTTTCAGGGAAGGGATAGACTGGCGCTACCCCCCATCCCAAAGGAAATGAAGAGCTCACCAAGCCTCGTAGACACCTGGTGCAACGATGCCACCAAGCCTGACCTTGAACGAGAGACAGACGACAGGTGGAAGGTCAAAAACGCTGATGGGTAAAGACAACCTTTGTGCGAACACTTATATCCCCTTCTGACTGGGCCTCATCTCACCAGAGGAAGCGATAGTTGGAGTGAGACTTCCCAGTGGGTGTTAAGCCATTGTGTATTTTTAACAATGTATTTCATGTTCAGTACTTTGCTCAAGAGCAGAACATGAGGGACTTCAGTGGAAGTTCCATCTGTAATTCCATACGTAATTGCATGCTAATTGCAATATAAGGGTGCACACTGGTACTGTCGCTTGTGGTTTGACGGCAAGCGAGAGTGTTATTCCATGATGACCCTGAAAGTTTTGAGGTAAATGCTTTGAAGCTTATTTCTGAGCCACTGTTGCTTTCCTCAGTAACCATGGTGGTGTCGCTCCTGCATGCTTACAAGAGGCTGCTCTGGATGGAAACTCCCTGTGGGTGAACCTTACCTTATGAGCTCAAATGGCCAAAGGGCTTGCGGTCAGTGACATATGGCACTACAGAGAAATATACTCTGATTCCAATGTGCTTTTTTGATTTAATTACAGCACTGAGTCAAGGAAGAGACTGACTAAACGATCTTGTACAGTAAAGTGCCAGTGAGTAGGAAAGTCATGGCCATGTTTTGTAGAGAATTTAGTGAGAATTTAGTTTTATTACAGTTACATTACTCAGAATGGGTTTTGCGATGCTTTAACTTTACAGACAAAACAACAAACCCAAAATGGACTTGTCAGATCGTTCCATCAGCTTTGACACGTAAGTCTGTGATACTGCTCTTGAACATTCAGTGAGGCCTAACATCAGAATTAAGATTTTAACAACTACATTGTCAGTGACACACTGACCCCTGTGAGGAGACCCTGTGTCATGCTGATCATTTCACCCATGTGGACAGTCATTCAGCAACCCAGCCCCTCATCTTCCCTCAGTCTGACAACGTGGAGGACTACTCGTGAGTGTCTAAGCTCTACCCTTTCCTTGGCCCTCTTAAGGTCAGGTTGATGTATTATTGGGTCTCATCCAAAATTTTGACCCGGCAGGTGGTATGGAGGGAACATGTCCAGAGTGAAGAGCGAGACACTCTTGCAGCAAATGGTTTGTGAGCACTCGGTCCTGCGTGCCTATTGGTTAGCCCTGTCGGTGATGTCACAAGGGGCCCGGGAGTGTCGTGATTGGGTCTCCCCTCTGTTTGTGTGCAGGGGAAAGAAGGGGCCTTTCTGGTGAGGGATTCCAGCCACAAAGGGTCGTACACTGTGTCATTGTTCAGCCTGGCACTCAAGTGAGTACAGAAGGAGATGTGAAAAAGGTCATCGAAACCCATTCATATCTCATACCCGGAATTCCCACTGATGTCACATTTTGGGTCTTTTGGATGACAGTAAAACAACAGGGACGGTTCGCCATTACCTCATAAATACCACCGATGACAAGCAGTTTTACTTGGCGGAGAATCTCTTGTTTGGCTCAATCCCTAAATTGATCTCATACCACCAACTAAACGGAGCAGGTGAGTTCCCTTAAACACTTCCCAAACTTGGTCCCAGACTTGAGCTCTGCTTTTAAAAACAAAGTTTTTAAACACAGTGTAAAAATAATTCCTCAAACTCTGTAATAAGAGTAACGGGTGTGGCGAATCAGTAAAGCCTTCCTCACTGCTCTTCACTGAAAGTATACATTACAGTACCAGTCAATCCTTGTAGATAGATGCCATTTCTTGACTGTTCCACTGAACGGGCAATGTTTTCACATCAGGACTGCTGACGAGATTACGACACCCAGCACTAGGCAGTGATACGATTCCCAGTTCAGGCTATGGTAAGGCAGAGCTATACAGAGGAGACCCAGTGAAAGCATGGCTGACACAACAGTGACGGGAAGTGATACCGACTTCCTCTTTGTTGCATCTGGACAGGCGACTGGGAACTGCGCCGGGAGGAGATAACTCTTGTAAGGCAGCTGGGCAGTGGGCAGTTTGGTGTGGTCCAGCTGGCTTTGTGGAAGGGGAGGTGTGAGATCGCCGTCAAAACAATCAAGGAGTGCTCCATGTCCACCGACGAGTTTATCGAAGAGGCCAAGATAATGATGCAAGTCTTTTATTCTCCCTGCTGACATAATCAACATAACTGTCTACTGTCTCCTAAGAGGAATGATAATATTGAACTTTACTCCAACTCACCGCCAAGAGAAACTACAGAGAAATAGCACAAAGTGAAATAAATAGCTGTACTTCTGTCAACATGTTGGTTTGCAAAATGCTAAATTTGTAAATTGATCTTTAATTTGTTTGAGTTCATTTTAGTTTCACTTTGGATGTTGCTTTGCCATTGCAGTTTAGTTTTTCTCATATTCAAACTAAGAAACGTTGGTGCCAGATGGGTTGAAACCTTTCACTGAGGGTTATTCCCGCCAGAAATGAGCATTTACACCCCCTGCCGGTCGTTTCCTTCGGAAGGAGGCTGAAGCACCCCAAGCTGGTGTCCCTGCACGGGGTCTGCACAGAAGCATACCCCTTCTACATCGTGACCGAGTACATGGAGAATGGCAACCTGCTGGAGTACCTGAAGACCCACGGAGACGAGTGTCCCCCCTCCCGGCTCCTGGACACCTGCCTGGATGTGTGCGATGCCATGTGCTACCTGGAGAGACAGCAGTTTATACACAGGGACCTGGTGAGATGCACCAGGCTTTGGGCTGGCATCCTGTATAGGGTGTACCCCTGCCCTGGGCTCCCCAGGACAGGGTCTCGACCCCCTGCCACCCTATAATGGACAAGCTGCTGGAAGACGGATGGATGTGTGTTTGTTTTAATCCAGTATTTCAAAATAACAAGATAAAACTCTTTTCTCTCACAGGCTGCAAGAAACTGCCTGGTGCACAAGAATCTCACTGTTAAAGTGTCAGACTTTGGGATGGCCAGGTAATCGGAATGAGCATCAGAAAGGTTTCCTTTAATCAGAAGCTCAGGCAGAGGCCTGTTAGATTAAACTGCGCTTACAGGAAATTCCATGAGTTTGTAGCATCAGATCAACAGCACCGGTGCATGTCAGTCGGCTTTATTTCCGTCCCTGCCGGAAAAATCTTTCTGAGAAATCCCCCCTCTGAGAAACCTCTGATGTCTGAGTAGGCTCTGGTTTTTCATGTAGGTATGTGATGGATGACCAGTATACAAGCTCAGCAGGGACCACCTTCCCAGTTAGGTGGTCTGCACCAGAAGTTTTGAGCTACACCAGGTTCAGCAGCAAGTCTGACGTCTGGGCTTTCGGTGGGTGACACTGGTGAATGTCTCCGCACTTTTAGCTTTGCTGTAGTACACAGGATGCAGCGACTCTTTGTGAAAGCAGGACAGCTGCATTGTATCACATATCCCTCGCCTAAAACAGGTAAAACAAAAAAAGGTTTGTGGTCTACCATGGTGAAAAGCGACTGTGCACACCTCACATTAATATGCACACCTCACATTAATGCTTGTTTCATCATCTCGGAACCGTCCAGCAATCCAGGGACGGGGTACCTACTGCTAGCTGAAAGACAGCTCAAGTTCCAAACGTTACCGACAGGTTAACCTTTATGTAGAAGGTCCCCTTCCTCACAGCTCTGACTAATGGCTACTGGTTCATGTATTACCTGGAGATCTTCCTACATGTGACACATTTTCTCCGGCAAACTGCGGCAGACAAGAGCTGGCAAAAAAAAATTATCAAAGGAAGTCATTGCAAATGCAATGTAGGCCGAATGTCACAAAAACAGGCAAACACAGTATGCTGGACAGTGATAACTATTACCTTTCTGGTTGTTTCATCTATTTGGTGTTAGATTGTATAATGCATTGGTTTTGCCTATTAAAAATTCACATAGCATAGAGCTATAAGACGGTTGAATCAATTATAATTGGTTAGCATCAATTAAAGCCTTAGTTGAACACAATAAGATCCATTTGCTTTGGATGTAGCAGGTGCTCGTGTTTGGGTCCAAATGGGAGCACTCTGACCATAATGGTGCTCTGGTGGTCACAGGCGTGTTGATGTGGGAGGTCTATACCCTGGGCAAGCAGCCATACGAGCCCCATGACAACAAGCAGGTGGCTGAGAATGTCATGCGGGGTTGCAGGCTACACCGGCCCCAGCTGGCCAGCGAGAAGCTCCACTGTCTGATCTCCAGCTGCTGGTATCAGGTGAGGCTGTGTAGTGTAGACAAGCACCCAGACAGTCAGTGTGGATGTACTTGTTCTCCAGGTAAGTGCAATCATTGCAGTCATGCCTTTCTTTCAGAACCCAGAGGACAGGCCGCCATTTCATCAGATCTTCGAGGATCTCCAAGCATTTCATGAGGACAGACAACACATAGACAGCGTTTGGGATAGCAGTGACAAAACAACTGAAGTCCAAATCATCCATGCAAAACAGGAATTAAACTTGTGACAGTGTGGTACGAAGAGCCAGTCTCACAAGACAGTCAGTATAATGTGACGGTCGTCACAATAACGGAAAAGCTGTCAACGGTGTTTATTTTCTCGCTTACACCATATTTCGCTTAGCGCATGTTCACACAATTTCGCTATTTCTGAATGCCATTTTAGCTTCTCCCAAATACAAAGGTGTGTCAAATCCAGGTGTTTTTGACAGTGTCTTAAACTCCATGTACCTTAAAGTCATCACTGGGTGGTGAATCGTTGGATTGCCTGCATTATTTTCATTTTATATATTTTGTTACTTTGTCACTGTTTGTGTATAAATATCATGGATATTGTTGCCTGTTGTATAAAGACAAACCCCCTGTTCACACTTTCATAATAATTTTGCAGCACTTCTCAAGGTCCTCTTTAGACTCTTAATGTTTATGGGTTTCAGGTATAAATTTTCCTTGGGAATAATAGTGGCGGTATTATGATGGGCTGTCTGGGAGCCTTCAGCAGGCAAAGCTGTTTGGATGGATGAAACTGTATATTGTAGTAGGGCCTTTACAGTATATATGCAAGACTGAAACCACTTATTCAGCACACAGTTGCTCCCCTGTATTTCCCTGAACCGCCATGCGGAGAGACGACTGTCATCTTCAAAGTTCAACCAATCACAGGAGTCGAAATGCCACATGGGCATGTGCTTCTGCTTCAGAGAAGGGAATTCTGAGGGTACATCTGTTTAACATGATGTCCAGAGAACCAATTTTTAATGACCACAGACAGGCAAACATGAGAATAAAATATTGACACATAAGGGAGATACCCTGATATTACCATCTGGTGGGGGGATGTCTGCGAAAATATGGAACAAATAGCATTATTTCATTTCTGGATATGTGACGACTATGAGACTGGTGACTCCAGCCACATCCCCTCCTGGCAAATACCCGCGTAACCCCATCAGCTCTGCCCACTGCTGTTCTGCCTCCTACACTGCATGAACCATTAGGTTCTTCCTAATCATCCCAAACCTTAATCCTAAATAATTTCTGCTTAAAATTCAGGAACCGTTTTCCTAACTGCTACGCTAATGCTACATATTTCAAAGTCAAATCATTAAAAAAAAATTTTTTAAAAAAGCAGAACAAATAAATGCTGTGGTTTGTGGCAATGCAGTGATGCAGTGTACTATGGCAGTGATAGAAACAGTTAAGTACCACAGAAAAGCTTGCCGCTGACTGCAGACCTACATAGACCTCGTCACTAAGGTTCTGAAGGCTGTTGGCTGATTTTGACTGTGTTCTATTATAGTGTCAGTGAATAAAAGACCTACCCTGCAGTTTACAGGCACCTTTTCAACCTTCATTTAAAGGTATGTTTCTCCCTTCATTCTATTTCAATATATGAAACTTGCATTTTGTGTTAAGCCATAGGATACTGGCCATAGGTGGACTGTGCCTCTGCTGACCACAGGGTCAGAACAGCAATTTTCTGCTATGGACATAGCGTAATAGAGCTCCAATTAAATAGTTTTACAACCATCACTAGAAAGCTGTTGCGGTCACACATTTTTAGAAACATTTTGTTCAGCAGTACATCAAACAGTGGCACTCTTAATAAACCTTTGCGGGTGGGTTACGATTTTATGCACCACGTTTTGCAGTTACGGTGACTATGGGGCAGATAAAATAGACATTTTAGCTGTACACCTGTGCTTTCAACTGGATCCATAAAAGCATGGAAATTTCTTTATGTGCTAAATCTGGACACCATCTTCGCTGTTTGGTCGTTGTTCAGGGTCTTAATATGAAGCTTTTGCTGTATTACAAATATTCACAAAAGCGTGATCAGCTCGGGAACGTGGGAGTCTTTGGAACCATTGTGTCAAATGGCTGGTTGGGAGGAGCCAAGTTCTCTGGGTTCCTCATTTTATTCCTGGATGTTCCGCCGTCCTCGGAATTTGGTTCATTTGACCAAATCTGAAGCTGGCCTTCGCAGCCGTTCCATGTTTTGGTTCTCTCCAACCACCTGCACACCAGACCAGTCACCTGAAGGCTCCATAATCGGCAAGCAGAAGCAGGAGCGCCAAAAACACACATTGGGCTTATGAACTAGACGGTCAGCTGTTGAAAACCCAGCGCCGCTCACACTGCTGTTCAACCCTTGCCTTTCCAAAACAGATCCAAACAGGCCAGCATGGATTCCCAGGCAGAGATCTACCTTGAGAAGCAAACACACTTGTCCTTCTGCATGAAGATGATAAGGGAGGACGAGGCGAAGACTGTCTGTGAGGAGGATGTCGTCAGAGACGGCTGCTGCTGCGTAACGGGGGCTGAACGCGCTCCCATCAACCACGTGGCTGTGGCAAAGCCTAGCAACACCACTTTCAGTAAGTCCACATGACTTATTTTGCTGTTTTTAATTGTCGATATTATAATTATCGTCATTCAGCATTTTGTACCATTTTACATAAGACATTTTTTGTAACGTCAGCAGGAATATGTAATTTTAGCAATGAGAAGATGAAGGACAACATAGCAATACTGAACCTGAAACATGACAAGTATATCAGGCGTTCCGGCAACGTGGCCTCGATGGATCCTTGTTCTGTCGTTAAATCAGGTATCTGGTTTATCAGGGTTTGGGTTTGTTTGGGAAAACTTAAGTACCAGCCACAAAAACAGAGGCACAGACGTAAACCTATACTGCAACAAAGCAGTTGTAAACTTAAGAATTATGGATGCTGCAAAATGCCACTTAAAATTCAGATATTAGAGAATTATTACCTTAAGTATAATCTGTTTCTTTGTGAGATAGATAAGGTGAAGGGGAACTTTAAGTCTTCGTGTTTTTCATAGTCACCTTAATTTACCTTAATTTAGGATTACTCTGTCTGCAGAATAGTTTAGATGAGTGTATAAATTTGCGCTAATCTAAATAATTTGGTCAGAATTCAGGCTTATTCGTGACATTGTCCCTTCTTTGTCTTAGCAAGCATAACGATATTCTACTACAAGACAACCCTTATTGAGGAGCCCTTCCGCGGGGTCCCGGTGGTGCTTAATTTCACCGACACTGACTCCTTCCTGCGCTGCCAGAAGAGCGGTGACGAGGTGTCTGTCAGCGTGGAGGTACAGCGCCCTCATCCACACGGCGCCAGCAGCGCCCTCGCAACGCTGTGCTGCGCGTTATAGGAATCGCATCGTGTTTTATAAGCACGCATTTTACCGCGCGGTGGCGCTATTGTCAACGTAGCTTTATAAATTGTTTTACAGGAGTTTGAAAAGCAAAGGCTGCAGCGTTTCTCCAGCCGGGATGAAGACGCATTCTCCTTCGTTTTCTACATGAGGGCCGCCCAGGACAAGGCGCGTCGTTTCGAGTCTGCGGTTCACAGCGGCTGGTTTATGAAGGCAGTGGACGAGACCGTAGGCATGGGCCCCCTGTCCCCGGAGAGCGAGTCCTCCTATTTTATGTTTCATGAGCAGTGAAGCCAGTCCTCCCCTCCATAAAGTTATACCTTTAAAATGTGCGCTTGGCAAATCGTATATGCGTTTTTATAATGGTGTTTCCGTGATCTGCTCCGTCTATTTATTATTAAAGTATTTATTCCACCTTTTAGAGAACTGCCTTCGACGTGTTTTACACGGACATATTAAACGCGTTTCAATTCATACGTCATGTTTTATTTTGCGCTGAAATGATTCTTGTTTTAAAAAATAAATACATTTCAAGAGTGCAAAAATGCCCAGCTAAATGCCTACCCTATCGATACTGTACCATTATAACGGAAGTTATAAGGAAGCGGTTAACGGGCTGGCGTGGTGACGCAGTGGGTAGCATTGTTACGTCACACCTCCAAGTTTGGGGGTTCAGATCCTGCCTGTGTTCCGAGTTGTGTGAGTTTCTTCCTGCATTCCAAAGATATGCACTTTGGTGAAGTATGTGTGTTATGATGAGGGCAGACTTTAGCTATCGGCAGTTGCGCTGGTGGGTAAAGTGCCATCCCATCCGGAGCATCTGTCTTCCCTATGCAGCCTGGGACAGACTTCCTGTGACCCCAATCAGCGTCAGGGGTTAGAAGACGAATGGAAAGGTCACATTAGGGAAAAACAGGAATGTCCTTGCCCATCTTTCCACTGAGAGAGCTTTCAAGGAACTTGTCCAACGAGCCCATATACATCAAGTAGAGAAAAGCTATGAGCAGCAGGTTGATATTGGTCCAGTACCTGGAAGATTTTCAAAGGTCATTTCGTAGAATGTCGGACTTAAAGTTGCCTGGATGCCAGTGACAGTGGTTATCTGGTCTATTACCAGCCATAATGATGTTACATGCTTACACACATTCACAATGTATGTCAGTCATTACCAGCACCGACCTACTGAGTCATGAAAGAGAAACCCACGCCAACAAAAAGTTCTCGTTTCATACGTTATCCCAAAATACTGACCTCAGCACTTTTATATTCCGATTACACACCATGTGTTAACTTTTACAGAGCGACACTCAGCCATTTCGTCTGCATTGATCCATTTCCCCTTACAGCAGCAGAATATGGCAGTGAAGATTTAACAGCCAGTTAATACTTAACCAGAGGACAAAGCTACAGACATGACTAAATCCAGCACTACACTCCTGCTTTCACACAAGGTTGCTGGATCAAATCCCATAACAACTCTTGCTGCCGTAGCCATGAGTGAGACTCTAAACTTAAGTGACCGTGATAAAACTGTATGTGTAGCTAATTTCTGCTGTGGATAAACATGCTAGTCACACCAAGTATAATCTCCATGCTCTTTAAAAAAAATTAGCTTGTTTACTTTTGTTTATTATTGCGCTTTATTTTCACGCTGATTCAGTGATCATCTTCGCAGACTCATTCTCATGATTCCCGTCGGGTGCTTGACATATCTAGTCGATATGTGACTGTCAGTAGATCACTATGTATTCAGTCATATTATGTGTGAGTCCTGTGAATTAGTTACATGTCTGGTGGTAAATCCTTATTATCAATGTACTGTGTGTAGAGCCCCAAAAATCTACATACCAAGGAAATTTTCCACATGTAAATAAACAATTCCTGTCAGCAAAATGATGTTGCACAATGTAAAGATATTGACCTCCACACCTGAATCTGCAGGGCACCAAATATTTTATGGCTTAAAGGCACCTTGGATTATACTGTAACCACAATGCGTAACTATGTCACCATCCCTAACCGAATGTGTCCCTTTGTGCTCAAGAGTCCACCTTTTAGATAACTCATTGTTTACTTATTTCAGTCATCATGTGCATTGGTGAAATTACACATACAACACCAGTTCACTTGGGTGGTTAGTGTGGTCAGTGTCAGGTGAATAGCCAATCTATGGTTTGTTCCCTTTCACTGAAAATTTATTAATTCTTAACCTTGTTTATTATTCACACAGAAAACTGCCACAACTAATAGTACATTTGTTTACTGCTACAAAGCTTTACCTAAAAATAAAACTGTCGTGAAGGACAGAAACATATCCCCAAAAGAATTTGCTTATTTTGGAGTACATAAGTTAAATAATCTGCAAAAATCTGCAGTTAGATCCCCCAGATGTGTAATCATAGACTGGACCCCATCAGCAACCCAGACATCTGCCTTATTCTAATTTGGTGGTGTCCTGGTTATGGTCTGCAGCCTGTCCTGCCTTTCGTGACTGGTGATTTGGTGCATGTTTTGGTGGTCCTCTAGGTGAGGTTATGAGTTTCCGGGTCACTACAGCTTGGTGGAGCTACTGGCCTCCACAAATATCTGGTTAAAATCATCACTTCCTTCCTGGACCTCATGGGTGGCGCCGTTCTGCTTTTCGCACCTCTCTTCCTCGTTCTCATCCTCGAGAATTCCTTTCTTCCTGTTAGACCACAAACACGGTGACATGCAACATCTGCTTCTCTCACCACACCTCTCACCACACTTAACCAACAGACTTAATTATTTGCTTGCTCTTGTAAAATAATATAAACCAACCATAATCTGTTTACAGAGAAACTGATTTATCAGTCATTACTATGCCACTTCCCCCCCATTACCATGTGACTGTTACCACTTCCTGTGGTGGGGGTGGGGGTATTAGTAGAAGGCCCAACTGAAGATTTTGTCGTCAAAATAACAAATCTGTCTAGGTTTTGTATGCAAACAACTGGCACTGGTCTCCAGTGTTTCTCAACTCAGTCCTTAGGGACCCTCAGACAGACAGTCCACATTTTTGCTCCTGCCCAGATCCCAGCCAATCAAGAACACTGAATACATGCTGCTGAGAGCTGGGTGGGAGCAAAAATGTGGAGTGTCTGAGGGTCCCTAAGGACCGGGTTGAGGTGGCTGTGTCACTAAAGCCGGAGACTAAGTAAGGCGCGTCTCACCGCCTCTTCTGCACGAAGGAGGACAGCAGCAGCATGACGACGCCGGCGCACACGGCACTGATGACCACGCCGAAGACGATGAGCCACGGCGGCGTGCCGGGCTGCACCGGGGCTACCAGAGTCGGGGGGATGTTCACAAACTCCAGCGTCTGATCCGTCAGCATGAAAGCGCTGTTGATGCGGTTCCTCGAGATCCTTGGGGAATGTATATCGCCAGAGACGCACTTTCAGGGTTGAACATCAAACCTTAATAAAGTTCTTAAACATTTATTTTGCGATTGTCCCTTAATTGTCTTATGCCTGCTTTGCCTGCTGGGGGACCCCTGCACGTGCCTATGTGACTGTTACTGCACCTGACGGCTTTTTCCACATCCTCGGCGGATACAAGCTCCGTGTCGTTTGACACCACAAACCAGAAGGACACGCGTGGCGTCTCGTCACACACATGGACGCTTGAGACGCTGGGAGAGAAAACAAAAAGTAAAACTACTTTAAATCCAAATAAGGGTCGCCTATCTGCCACTGATTTAACCACTAACAAAAAAAATAAAAACTATAACAAATAATGTTTTTTTTCCGATCTCTTGTAAAAATTCGGCCTAATGTCAAATCGTGAAGTGTGGCACACATCGAACTGCTGAACATCAAAAACATATCAGCACCACGTCCCCGATCTCATGCGCGGCACGGCATCGCTGTTTGAATAAGCGCAGGTATCAGACTAAACAAATATGCCGGGCGATGGTCTTAACCTTTCCAGGGTGAGAAAAACGGACAAAGGACGTACTGTTTCTGGAGAATAATGGGCTTCATAATGAGCCAGAGTTGTGAATTTGGTATAAAAAAAAATAGCATGATATTCGTACTGGCTTTGTGGTATTGCGATGTTACTGCGGCGTGCAGTTGTTGTCTAATAGGCCCATACGGCATCCTCTCCGTGCCAAATAATATAGTGTTATGTCAAAGATGCATAAATTAACGCGCTATCTATTTCTTTCCGCCGTTTTAAATTAAACACAATTTAAATAACGCAGCGAATGCCGAGAAATGCGACTTGATGTGCTCTCAGAAAACACGTTGATGCGGTCTTGGGGGGGGGGGGGGCTTACTTGTACTGATCCGACTTGGTGTAGACCCTCATGGCAAAGGCCAGAGTAGCCCTGAACAGGAACATCTCGCTGTCGTCCCACGGGTACTGTGAAGTCAATTTACAAGCGTGTCCTCGCGTTATTTATACGCAAACACGTGTCCTAAATTTGCACCATGAAAACATTTAATCTTAATAGCTCTGAACAGATTGAAATAAACATCTTATCCTACAAAATTAGCTTCTGAAAATAGGCCAATATATAAACAGCTGACGTTCAACAAAATGTATGCAGGCGGCAATTTTTGTTTTACATCTTATGGGATCGTTCCTTTCCAAAGACCTCAGCAGTGCTTTTCAAAAACCCTTAGTCTCGCTTAACAGTGCTGTAAATATAATTATGAAAGTTTTATATGGGCATTTAACCGAGACTTACCGCCTTATTTCCCAGGGCTGTTTTAATGCTAAGTCGCACTTTATAGCCATTTTTTGCATCTGCAACAGGAAAACATTTTCGAGCAAAACTGGGATATGTGGCTGTTTAACAACTAAGAAAGTTGAATAATAATAATAATAATAATAATAATAATAAACAGACACGCCAGTCAGTGTCTAACAGAATTTAAACGATATGTAGGATGTTGTATTAATCATAAACAAGCATAAGGAAAATATTTAAATATTTGCATGATGTGATGTATCCCTGTGCGCCCCCTTGGTGGAGATGCCGTGTTGACTTACCTACGGAGCACCGATTCTCAGCCTGGACAGCTGTCAAGGCAGTGGAAATGCAAAGCGTTAGGAAGAGATCGGTCAGCATCCCGCACCGAGAGAGTTTATGGGGAAAACGCAGTTAGAATCGCACTAAACGGGGATTACGGTGAGCACAGCCAGGGATCAGAAAATGGGAGGAGAGCGCGGTTTAATCATTAAACGCCCCTCCATCTCACAGCCCTACCGCAAGGAACCAAATGTCATTTTTAAGCGAACTCGTATCTAACTTTCCTGTTTGTTATATGAATGTTATGTAACTGGCTTGCGGTGCTGAAACAGCGAAGAGTTCTGCGATAGCGTCCTGCTTGGCCTGCAGAAAGCCAGCGGAGGCGGTGAGCGACTGATTCCAGGCCTCCGGTTACGCAGCCACCGTAATATTCACTTCCTCCACCCAGTAAGATCCAGCTCAGGGTGTCAGAACAAGGCACCTTTTGGAGAGGGATTGATGTACCAGCCCAGAATAGTGGCTCAGAAAATTACCAGTTAGGCTAAGGCTAAATTACCAGTAAGGTTCTAAACATCAATCTCTGAACTGCAGGAATCGACCACGTTATAAATCACGTCGTTTCTCGTCGGTATAGACCCCATTCATTTCACCAACTCTGATTCTTCTTGCCATATACTTATGGATCAGTGAGTGCGTTAAAATGGTTAATTTGTTACTGATCGATGGTTTATATTAACTATAGAAAAAAAGAATCTTTAATTTTTTATTCCTATGTTAACTGTATAATAGCGCAGAACTAATTCCTTTTTAATTCCGAAGAATATAATGCAATGAAATTTAAATTAAAACAACAATGCTTGGTTAAATAGATTAAGAAAGTCATAGCAGGTTACGATTCTGCTTTTATAATTTGAAACAGATCATGGTCAGGATTGCGTTTAGCTTATCTCGGTTCATACAGGCAGGGGCGGATTAAGGTGTACAGAGGCCCCTAGGCTACAGTAGTCTGTGGGCCCTCCAACCCCACCTGCCTCCGCGCCAATGGGGGCGCCCTTGCAGGCTGACACACGTGGGGCCCCTAGGCTTAAGCCATATCTAGCCTGTGCGCTAATCCGCCCCTGCATACAGGCTAAATGCCGTTTATATTGTAAGATGGGATATTTCTAAAGCAACATGACGTTCAGAAGAAAGAAGAAAATCACAGGCTGGCATATTTTAATTGTGATGTCCAGATGCAGAGTAATTCATTTTATCTGAAAGGGACCAATGTCCCCTGTCTGAGGGAAAGCATTCAAAGTATTTTACAAGGCATAGACTATGCCCACGCTCTCAGAAAAAGGGTAAACATTTGTGCTTTTGCTTGTCACTGGGGCTGTACACTCAAGGGTCTGCCAGGTAACTGTACAGAAATCGGCTCTGGGGAACATTTCTGTACCATTGATGGTACATTAATGCTGTTTGTACCTTTGGGATGTTCCTCAGAGTCCATTTCTGCACCTTAAAAGGTACAATTACAAGGGTACAGCCCCAGTGACAAGCAAAGGTACAAATTTTTACCCTTTTTTTCTGAGGCAGCAGACATTAGTGATATTCTGGTGGCTTCTGGGGGAACGGATGTCAGGAACAGTGAATGACAAACTGAACAGAAAGACGGCGCTGACTTACCTTTCAGACACTGAAAGGCAAGGCTCAGTGGGCTAAGCCTGTGTACCTGTAATCACAAGGTCGCCGGTTCAAACCCAGCCTCAGCACGTCTGCGGGTCCTTGAGCAAGGCCCTTAACCCCCAGCTCCCTGGGCGCCGCTACAGGTGGCTGCCCTTCACGGACAACTTACTCTTCAAAGAGCAAGTTGAGGGAAGCGTAAAAACAATTTCCCCATGGGGATCAATAAAAGTATCAATTATTATTATTTGTTCATACTTTGTTGTTGCCGGTGGCAGCAGAAGGGCCATAATACGACCTAGCCTAATTTTTGTTCTCGCAACCCCGAAGAAGATGAGTAATAGACAGTTTAAATCTTCTTAGTTCTACTTGTACACAATCATTAGTCTCGTAACATTTTAATAAATGCTTTTTAAGAATTTTAGTCTTTGAAACATTGCTGTGGGTGACTGACATCGCCACCTGGTGGCAGAAAATCTACACACGTTTTGAACAGTTACTCGGGAGGATTTTTAATTTATAGAAGAGATACATTGGTAAATTATCGTCACCATTTTAGCAAACTGCTCTGTAATGTAGTGACGTGTGAGTAACGTTATGCATTTTACTCATTCATAGGCGCAATAATATCTGTATAACTCATAGACTTGTACTTTGTAAATTCATTCGTCACGCTAATATTTAAAATCCACTGATGAAAAGTGAATAATCTCAATTTCATCGTATTTTTAACAGCATTTTCTACCCAGGGTTGCTACGAGGAGGTAGCACGGAGCACTAGGTAGGCGTACTGCCTGGAAGGGACGCCGTTTAATCGCAGGGATTCGACTTTCCGGTAAAACGCCCATTTATCTAAAATAATTAGGCTACCCAAAATATATATGATCTGAAGAAAGAAATATGATTAATTATGCGTTTTCGTTTTCATCTCAATCATAGAACATAACGGTAGAACCAGATCCGGCTACTTTAAACAAAATCCTACGGGTTATAATAATGCTAAACATCGTCTCAGTCACCAGGTGAGCAGCTTCACACGTGATTTTCTCGTCGAAAGACGCCGCGGTGAGTTGAAAACGCGAGAATACGCCGGGAGTGTCGGCGCTGACGTAAAAAAGCAGCAGCCTCCGCAGCGCCCTCGTGCGTCCCATCGCGGTACTAATTGGCACTGCGTCCCAGGTCCTAGAATAAGCCGCCGGACTGCGGAGATCAAGACCCGGTGGATTTCCCTAATCTTCCTTTTGTCATTTTCGTTACTGGGCCCGCGTCGCCGCGAAACCTGTTTCATGTTAGCCATTCCAGAGGCATAACACTGTTTTTAACTCGGATGCAGCCAGGCCAGGGATGGATCGGGGACCTGGTACGGCGTCGGGAGGGAGTTTCATATCCATAAGTGAAAACGAGCAGAGATGTTACTCGGGTCTGTCCACTTTGTGTCAAGCTGACAGCTCTGGAAAACTAGCGGCGAGCAAAGTCGGGGAGCTTTTCAGGGCGTCGCAGCTACCTGCCGAGACCTTACATCAAGTAAGTGCCGCTTTTTGTAGGACATCAAGGTCTGTTCGCTCTAATAGTAATCTGCGGACGTGTGTGGTCCTGCTGGGAAACACCTTCAGATCGCGAACGGTGCATGAAGATCACCGCTAGTTTACTAAGGCACATGTAAAATAAAATCATGTCTAATATCTTAATATTCTTATAGATCCACGAGATCTCGCCGGCTTTGCAATTTATTAAACAAACCAAATCGGATGACAATCATGGCATTACTTAAACGACAAAATTTGTTTTTGCTCATGCATTGTTTCCCCGATTAAAAATGTATTATCGTTTTTGTATCTGTGTTTGTCTTGGACTTGTAGCCCTGTTTTTGTTGTATTAATGTTTTAACAAAGTAACAAAGCATAAATTATAAATTACATATGCTGCATAACAGAGGTCGAGCCTTGCTGGGTTTTGCGGCTTATTTAGTCATGTACATATCTGTATTAAAAAAGCACTGAAATGTTGTCGCGTACATCTATGCGAGAAATTTTTCTGCTGGTCGTCCACAGCCTACAGAAGGACTGAATGTAAAATGAAGTCATGCTTGAGTTTGAGTTCTGGTTGCGGACGAAAGTGTCAAAGAGCCGCATGGTACGACCGGCGTATTAGTAACTTTATTGACGCGAATGTGGGACGTAGCAAATTGTTTTTTTTTGGTTGGGCTGTCGGCGGAGCTGGAATTGAGTGTAACATCAGAAAACTGTTTTTAAGTGTTTGCAAAGACATGTGCACTCGGCGATTTCGGTTACCGTTATTTAATCTTTGATCGTACCGAGAGGCATGAGGGCGAGTATTTGGTCCAATAAGTTTAGTGGTTTGAGTCCCTGCTATAGGCCTGGTACTCTCGGAAAAGATATTAGAAGTTTTTAATTAAACAAAAAAAAACTTATTTTAAAAGCCATAAAAAAGGAAAGCACTGTGGCGAAACAGAGAGTGAAAGATGTCATATTTCGTCATCCTGAGGCTGGCGTTGGAAGCTCGTTCCCCACATGCGGGGACCTCCCGCCGGGGGAGTCATTGTATCCCGGCACCATTTCAGGATGTTTGGCCCCGCTCCGCGTTTCCTTCCCATCCGGTCTGGCAGTTCTGTGGATCTGCTCCGATAACCCCCACCCCACAAAAAAAACCATGAGAGTTGTATGAGTGACAGGCGAGCCTTTTCCAAATCGGTCCCTGCTCGGAGCAGGATGCCGGATTTTGCACCCAGTGACGACGTGCGCGTGTTGAAAAAAGAAGACGTCAGATTTTTACAGAGATCTGAAAGCAGAGAACTCAGAAAAGATTTAACTGGCGTATTTTCAGCCTTGTCTGTTACTTAGTTGCCTCTACACTGTATTTTTTGAGTTGAACATGATTTGTTATTCATTCAGAAAATTCCAGTGCATGCAGTGACAGACATTGTATCTAATTCATCAGCAAGTAGGATGTTATTCTCCTCCTCAATAATCTTATTGGCAGGGGCGGATTAACGCACAGGCTAGATATGGCTTAAGCCTAGGGGCCCCACGTGTGCCAGCCTGCAAGGGGGTCCCCATTGGCGCCGAGGGGGGTGGGGTTGGGGGCCCCACAGACTACTGTAGCCTAGGGGCCTCTGTACACCTTAATCCGCCCCTGCTTATTGATCATTCATTTTTTCCGTACGAGCCACTGCAATATGTCAGGCTCTGAACACTTAAATGTTTCTGTTGTCACTGCATAGTTTCATGTGCACTGGTTGTAAACATATGATGAAATGCTATGCCCGAAACAGATTTGTTGTGTTAACGCAGTCACTAGTGTATTGTGCTTTACTAAACCAAACCATCTACATGCTCATAACTGTGCTTTCACGCTCTCGTGGTTCAGTGTCGTTCATCAGTGATCACTGTCCTGGGTGCCATGTGAGGGGCTCTGCTCTCTGTCTGACCCCCCAAAGATGTGGTCTATAAAAAGCTCTGCCCCTCCTGAAGCCAAACTTGTCTGGTCTTGTCCGTGGTGGCGTCTGTTTTGGGACACTAGGCGCGTGCCCTGTTTACACTTACAGCTCTACTCACGTGTCTGTCCACTGTGCCGAATTGTCAGCGACATACCTATTCAGAAATGGTGAGCTGGCATAAGAGTCCACAGCAAATGCACCTGCCCTCTAATCTCCTACACAATTAGAAAAAAGAGTACCAGTTTGTACCTTTGCTTGTCACTGGGGCTGTACCCTCAAGGATCTGTCAATTGTACCCTAGCTGTAGGTAAGTGTACCTTTTAGTTTAATCTAAGGTACAGAAATGGACTCTGAGGAACATCCCCAAGGGACAAACAACATTAATGTACCCCCAATGGTACAAAAATGTTCCACAGAGTGGAAAGTGCAGTTTCTGAAAGTGCAGTTCCCACTGTGGGTCACAAATCGTCATTTCTCTCATCACCTGATATTTCCTGAAAGTCAGAACGCCAGCGTGGGTCTCTGCTCTGCATACTAATGGTGTAAATGTAGTGTAAGGACTGGGAAAGGCTGGTTATACTGGGCACTCCCAGCATCACACAGTGCACTTGAGTGGTGACATTTGCTGGATTTGGGACATTTCTGGGGGGGGGGGGGGGGTTACTCTGAAGCGTGGGTTGGGTTTAGCATTTTTCACAGGATGCGGCGGGTTTCCAGTAGTAACTTCAAGAAGAAATAAATGAACTTTCTGTCACATGCCCCAGCTTGAAAGTTCGCCTGCCAGGCCGTCATAAAGCAGGTCACATGACCGCAGGGGGCGTGGCCTTGTCTGGCTGGACGCTGGCTGCCCGGCTGCCACTTTCTCTGTAACTTTAACATTGCAAAATTACACATCTCTGACATTAAAATACCTGGAAATATAACATAAAGTCAAGTTACACATACTATGATTTTTTTTGTGTGACTAACAGGGTTAACATTTTTGTAACATCCTTGCCATTCAACAAATGTCACAATAGGTGCAAATACTATGTGATTTGGGGGTGGGAGACGGCGTCTGTTCCTGGAGCTGGGGGATTGGAGGGTTTGAGTCCCCGTTAGTCTCATTAGTCTTCTCAGTGTAATGATCCATGGGGTTTGGGGATCATATCACAAGCTGCCTGGCACTAACCTCCCAAAAACACCTTGTTTCAGGAAAATACCTCATGTTCTGTAAAGCTCTGTGATAATGTAGATGATGGTGTTAACAGGGCTTAACAGCCGAGCCCGTTTTTGGGTTTTGAATAGTATTCTTGTGCTGGATATTGGTGAGTGACCGTCAGGAGTTGGGCTGGGTGACACTAGGTGCCCAGCATGTGACTCGCTGGGCAGAAGCCCTGGTAGTGCCAGGCTGTCCAATAATAGGGCAGCGGAGACATTAATGATTTAAGGGAAGTTAAATGTTAAACGGTGAATTCAGAGTGGCTCCTCTGTCACACGGCAGTGGTTGTCTTCTTCCTGGAGGATCCTCTGGCCTGTTGGGGACACAGAGGACACAGAAAAGACTAAAGAACGTTCACCGTGGTCGTAAGAACGTTCACCGTGGTCGTAAGGAACTGCGAGGACGAGCCAGTGCAGAACTCAGGGAATAATCACAGTCCTTTAATACAGACTGTTGACGTGTCTTTCTACAGCAAGGAGGTTTGTTGTCATACATCCCTTTGACCATAAAAGTGAAGAGTCGTCTGTAGATGCACGTTGTAATCTGATGGGAAGGGGACCAGTCCAGACCTTTCTGCTGCTTTTTATAGCCCATAAATATCTGGTGAATCAGCCTGGAACCTCCATCTGCCGGCTTCCACTGAAGATTATGAGGAACCCTGAGGTGGACCAGCTAATCCATTGGTTACTCTGTGGCTTCGGCTGCCTAACCTCAAACCAGCTAACAGATAAATCTAAATGTCTTAAAATGTTTTAACCAAGTGGTGTAAAATTATAGCTAATCCTGAGACGTCCCTGTTTTTGTATTTCACTTTTGGTGGAATTATACTCATTTCACTTTTGGTGGAATTATACCCCCCCCCCCCCCCCGTGTGGCTGTGTGTGTGCATAACTGTGTAGCCATGTGTGTGTGTCCAATCACGGGGCACCATTTTTCAGGCCCAGCGCTCTGTCCCACATCTGAGTGGGGGGTATTTTGTCTGTGAAAGGGAGAGATATCGCTACATTGGCGTCCCTCCCCCCGCCAGTCTTGTTTATTTGTGTGTTTTTTGCATTTCTTGTACAGCTAAATCCTTGCTAATCCCACAGTGCCATATGCTATGTGGTCCTTGGGGGGGGGGGGAGCATTAACCACCTTGATGTCCCCTGGTAGGTGGGGGCAGGAGAGGAGCACTAACACCCTTAACACCCCCTGGTGGGTGGGGGGAGCATTAACACCCTTAACGCCCCCTGGTGGGTGGGGGGAGCATTAACACCCTTAACGCCCCCTGGTGGGCGGGGGGAGCATTAACACCCTTAACCCACCCCTTCTCAGCAGGGGGGAACCCAACCTCTGTCTCATTCATTCTCAGCTGTAAGGAAGCCAGATCTTCACTCAAAAGAGAGAGAAATGAAAAACATTTGTGTGTTCGAGATCTGGCACACATCTGCTTAGGGGCCCCAGCGATCTGTAGCTTTTGCTTTTGGGGCAGTTTGCTGTGAGTTGCACTGAGGTCATGTTTTACCCTTGAGCTCTCATAGGCTGCCTCTCCACTGTCCCGCCCCTGTTCACTGGCTCCGCCTTTTATTGTGGAAGGGGAATGGTAAGCTTGCTCCGTGACAATATAGATTGCACGTGATTGGCACCATAAACGTGTTCTGGTATTTGTCCCTGCAATGGGGGGAAGGCGGGTCCTCGCTTGATGTCCTTAAAAAAATGCTGAGGTTTCCACCTGTTTGGAGCCAGGGACTGGAGCGGGTGGCAGGGGGGGGCTGCGGCAGTGGATATTAATGGGCCTTCAGCTCGGAGATGCGGCCAGAGCCGGCGTGATGTCCAGCCGCGATCGATAGGACACGACAGACCGCAGCGGCGATGGGAAAGAGATTTTTAACGGTGAGAAAATGGCAAAAGCGTGACGAGCTGGGTTGGGCGTCTCTGCCTGCCTCTCTGTTCCCTTACGATCAGTCGCTGGCCAAGCGGCTGATGTTGCAAACACCCGATATCATCTCTAACGCCGCATGGGGAAGATCACACCCTGTCCTACATGAGGTGATTAAGTGTTTTCAGGTGACCTCGTGGGGAGATTGGGGGTACGAGATCTTGTGGCGGCCCCTGTGGTAAAGGCGAACAGGCCCTATAGATTTAACCGCATTTCTAGAACTTTCTTTTCTGTTTTTTCTTGCTTTAGGAGATAAGCAGAATTTAACAGGTTATCGGACAGTATTGATCTTGTCTGTAACTAGGGAAAGCCAGGGCATGGAGTTGATCCCAGCATGCTGATGACCCATGACGGCTCTGGGGTCACCTCTCCAGAAGCTGGGCGGCCGAGTAGGTTTCTGATCCCGGCCCTGCGCTGTCCGGCTTAGGCTGTTCACCTCTCTCTGGCCCAGGTGCTTGCTGGGAGTTTTCTGAAGGCACCAACCTCCCAGGGTTTCTGGCTGGGGTGTCGAAGCTGGTTTGGTTCTAGCAGAATGTAACCGCTGTCAATGTGATTGTTCAGACTGTGGCTCAGAAGATTGGGCTGCTGTGTCTGTGATGGGAAGGTTGCTGGATCAAATCCCAGAGGCTGCAAAGTGTTTTTTACTGTGAGGCCCTTTACTGCCTATTACTCCAGGACTGTGGGACCCTGCTTTCGACTGTATGTCACATTGGATAAAAGCATCTCCCATCATCACCACACTGTCATTCTGCCGTGTCACACTGGGGCAAATTCAGTCTGGTAGACCCTGTTGAAAAACACAGGGATTGTACACATTTTAGCACAAATGTTAAGGTCTTAGGACCAAGCCCAAAAACAATCCTAGTTGTTTTTTCACTTTTCCTTTCAGGGGGTTAGGATGACAAGTGATGATGTTTACTTAGCTGCCCAATGAGCCTGGTCCACTTCCCCTTGAACTCTGGTTCGATTTTCCAGCTCTCTTTCTATTGGCTCTTCAGCTTTTGAATCTAATTGGACAGACGGCGTGCCAGTCACCCCAGGCTGCAGCAGTCCCAGTTAAGGGGGAGGGGCATCCCTGCCTCATGTGTCTCATCCACTCAATCACCTAATGAGATGAGATTGCTGAATGCTGGAGGTGTAGCAAGTTCAAAGCTCTATGCTAACCTATGACTAACATACCATTCCCACAATGCACTGTTTTCTGGTTAAGGAAGTGTCAGTGTTTAAACTTATCTCTCCACAAACACCAAGTAGCAACACCAACTTCTGCCTGTATAACCAGTAAACTCATCTTTCTCTGTTTGTGGCTCCTGGTTTGGACTGTTTAAGCACAAGTATGAGATTACCAGGTTACAACGTTGCCAACCATGCCGTGACAGTGATGGTCACGCCTTGAGCTGCCCTTGTTGCTCCCTGCAGATCACAGATGTGTGTGGGGCCAAAAGACTGGGCTACTTTGGGTCGGGCCAGTTCTACGTGGCGCTGAAGCTGCTAGCGGCAGCACAGGCTGGGCTTCCAGTGAGCCTGGAGAGCATCAAGGAAGGTGAGTCACCGGGGAGACCGACAATGGGGTCGGCGTGAGAGATGCCGGGGGGGGGGGTCAGTAATATTGGGGTCGGTAATATTGCAATAATTTCTAACCAGGAGTTTATCCCGGTATTAGTGCTGACAGTGGTTTTTAAACATGGGGTGTTTCCCTGGCAGAGCTGCCCCTTCCCCGATTCGCCGACATGAAAGATGACCGAGACCCCCGGTACCCCAGTCGCTCTCAGAGCAGTGACACCCCCAGCCACCAGTCTGCCGCGGCGTCAGAGTCTGTCCCACGGGCCCCGATGGACCGGGGTGCTGTCAGACACCAGGGCTCCATCTCCGAGCGAAAGGTGAGGCTGCTACAGAGTCTCACACGGACTTTGGAGCAACTACGGTTACCGTGGCAACATCAACTGCTGTAGCCATGGCAGCGACTATGTGCGGGCTTGATTCTGGGGTGCGGATATGCAGATGTAGAAACATGGGTCACTAACCTCATTCTGTATTTCAACTGGTTTCCACAGAGATGTCGATAAGATTAAAATCCGGGGAGTGCATGATTCAGACATGGTGTCAGAACGGGAAATAGTATTGAACAGCATTATTGTTAGTAAAACATTTGGTAACACTTTACATTAACTGCACCTTCATAATGCTTTTATATTACATTCATAAAACGTTCAGTACACCTTCATAATGTATTTATTAAGAATTCATAAAACATTCATAATCATGTATGTATACCTCAACATCCTAACATCCCTTAACAGCTGTAATATACATTAATAACAAACATTATAATTGTATAATCATGTAATGTTTGTTATTAATGTATATAAAAGATGTTTGGATGTTAAGCTGTACTTACATGCTGCTTATGAATGCTCTATGAACGCATTATGAATGCATAATGAATGCATTATGTAGGTGCACTTAATGTAAAGCATTACCAAACATTTTCTAGGGGACACATTCTGATAGATGGTGTGTTTGTGTTGCAAGGAGCCTTGGTCGCCACCACCCTCACCTTGCAGGTCTCCGCCGGACTCTCCACTGAGCTATCACAGCTACGCCTACAGCATTCCGCGGAACGGAGCAGATGCTCATTTAGGTAAGGCAGCCGTCAGTCAGCTAATTGTCGCTCCCACCTAATGAACCAGCTTAATCTCTCCGCTTTTATGTGGATTGAAACCAGTGAACCCACTAACACTGAAAGCAAGACCTGTTACACCAAAAAGCCATTTTTTACTGTGTGGTGTTGGTCCCTGCAGAAGGCAGATATGCAGAAACACTACAAAACGACTTTAAAGATCCCCGCTAACTAATTATTCCACAATTAGCCTTTTCTTTTTAGTCACACGTTAGCATGGCTGCGTTTCTCCATCCTGGTCTCCTGAACCACATCCCTTTCCATACCAGATCCCATTCTGAGCCTGAGACATCGCAGCTGTCCAGGTGTGATACCACTCTGCCTAATTAACACTGTTTCAGGCTAATTCAGAGGAAAGGTCACATTTTGCTGATTAGAACAGACCTTAATCACCCTTTGTGGTCACAGGGTATGTCTAACTGCTGCTGGGGCATCACACTGTAACAAATTAAATTCAGTGTAGGATGACTATATTAAGCTTTGCAAAAGAGAGGAGGCGGGGGCGGGACGCGGAGAGAGGGCGCCCGGGGGCGGGAGGCGGAGAGAGGGCGCCGGGGGCGGGAGGCGGAGAGAGGCGTCACAGTGATGCGAATATGTTCTGGCTGTGGAAAGTAAATATCAACATGAAAAAGAGGGAAATCCTGGACATTTCTGGTATTTTAGGTCTCAGTAAAGAGGACAAGTCTGAGAGAAAGAGGATGTATTGTCACCCTCTGAAAACCATACCCAGGCCAGTGACTGGGAACTCTGGGTCAGGAGTGGTTAATGGCAAAGACTGCAGTGGCCACGCTGTTAACAGCCTGACTGATACTCCTCCAGTTTCCCTGTATTAATGTAACTAATCTAATTACAGTTGATTTGGTTCTATTCCCAAAAGCCACAGCTAAGTTAATTAGTACTCGGCACAGCTAATGAGATATGCTGTTTCGATTAATTATTTTTTATATCTCGCAGTTTCTTGTTAGTGTTGCGTTCTTGTACAGCTTAGCCATGATCGTGGGATAATGATGTTATTGCATGTTGTTCCTTGTTAAGAAGACCGACGAGCCGTTTTTCTCGTGATCGCTTCGCGCTTTCGGGAATCCATGCTGTCGCGTTTCTAGACCCCATATATTAGAGGGTCCAAGTTTGCGGCTGGTCGGTGACCTGAGAATTCTGCTCCGCTCTGCCCAAATTTCTTTCTTACCTGGTTACTAAGCAGCCTATCTGTCGCGGAGAGAATGCCGTGTGGACAGAGATCTGGCTCCCCCCCCCCCGCCGCCCCCCGGGAGTCCAGTCTGGAGGTCTGCAGTGGGGAGTATATCAGCTTTTTGTTGTTAAGCAAATCAAAAGTCAGCCTGGATGAGAGTCTCTCTTAATCGTCGTCGACAGCACCCAAGTCATGCCGTGGATCTTTCCTGTTTTAAGTAGATCAGTATTTAAAATCCAAACTTCTCTGTGATCTGACACGTTTTCTCCCTGCGGTGCAGGTCAGACCCCGGGAGTCTCGGTCTGGGCCCAGGACACCTCCTCCCCGCTCCACTATGGGGCCAAACCCCCCATGGAGCACACCTCCTCAGTAAGCACCTGCTTCCCTACCCTGAGCTCCCCCTACAGCTCTGCAGTGATCATGTGCTTCTCACAGTCCAGTAGCCCGCAGTGACCGCTGAGTAGCGTGTATTAAGTCCTAAAACATAACTGACCAGAGGTGGATATTTCTGGTCCAGAAAGTAAAAATCCAGACCAAGATTTTGTTTCAACCAACCAGCTGAGTATAAAGAGACACAGTCACAGAGTGCTCAACTGGTTGGTTGAAATAAAATCTTGGTCTGGATTTCTACTTTCTGGACCTGAACTGTCCACCTCTGTAACTGACAGATAGTCATACAGCCCAGGCTAAAGTATGTGATAAGTTCCACTAAGCAGTGGGGGGGCGGGGTTCCTTTTCACCAGCGTCATTCTGCAGAAAGGCCAGTGGATCACGGGATAGTGGATTACCCCGACGACCCCTGGAGGATAACGCCGGAACAGCGGGAGTATTACACTAACCAGTTCAGAAGCGTGCAGCCTGACCTGGGAGCGCTCATCCTGGGTAAGTGTCAGGCCATCTCCACAGAGACTCAGTCGGGGGGCGGGGGTGCAAAGTGAGTCGCTCAGCAGGAACCGTGCGGCGCCCAAAACCATGTGTCATACTCACCCCTGTTTTCCTTTTCATGTCACATTGCTAGAAACAAGTTTTTTATACTTTTTCTCCTTTTCCCTCTTCTAGGGTCTGTAGCGAGGAACTTCTTCACAAAATCTAAGCTCCCCATTCCAGAACTTTCTCACATATGGTAAGTGTGAAGACAGCAGGGGGCGCCGCTTTATCACAGGAAAGTGCAGTGGACAGTATACTTTCCTCGGCATATGGCTGGGGCAGGGATGCCTACCCAGGATGCCACTGGCCTTTAGTCAGTCATATGGCAGCGGTGCCGGGCTGAGATGTGCCACATAGGAGACCTTTGTCCCGACTTAGCATTTATGTGGACTGAGCATGCCCAGTTAGCTCCTCCGCCCTTTCTGCCGCCGCATGAGGGGCTTAGCCCAGATTAAAGCACATTCACGGCTGAGTAGCTCTGAATGGCGGCATTGTGTGTCCTAACAAGGTGCCGGGCGAGACCCGCTAAGCGTGTCCACGGCTTCCCTGCCTGCCCATCCTGCTCCCTGCTTACCGCCACGTTTCACTTCATTACCGCTGAGTTTTCGGGGTCACTCCGACTGAACCACTCCCCCCCATAACCGTAAGGCAGCCGCCTGGGACCCCCCCAAAACTTGGGGCCCCACGAAGGCAGAATTTCCTGAAGTTACATTTATGCATATAACATAATATGATCTTTTAAATTATAGAAACATGTCTGTTATTTGGATTTTTATCAACAGTTTTCAGGATAGACAATGTTTCCCCCCATTCTGGCGATAATGGACTCTTCCTACTTTGAGCCTTAATGCTACCAGCTTTCTTTCAACACAGGAGTCTAGTGGCTGTTTCACTGCCAAGTGAACCGGCACTAAGTAGCCTAACAGAAGAATAGCAGACTTAGCATTACATCCCCTGAGCCTTTGATTCTGTCCCGCCAGCGTGGTAGACAAGCTGTGAACATGTGTGGCAAGAACATAATTAAACAAACTTATGCAAAAATTCAACAGTAACAGCCTCAGGGGCGGAGTAAGCGATAGGCTGCAGCCTAGGGCCAAGGCAATAGAGCGAACTATTAAACTTCTTAAATTTTAATCGACGGCACTCCTGCCCCCACCCTGATTGGTCAATTTTTCCCCTGGCACCTGCACTTTGATTTGCATATTATTGATTTTTCATCATTTTTAATGTTGTTGTTGTTTTTTTTTTTTGCTCCAAAAAAATGCTCACATGGCCCCTTAAGAGCCCCCAGGCATGTCACCCTGGGGCCCCCAGAGATGTGAACCCGCCCCCCCTATAACAAACTCATTCACCGTGAAAAGCTGACCTTGGGTGTCTTTCTGAGTTCTGCAGAGTTTGCCTGGTTCTGACCGCTGAGCCCAGTGCGAGCTGGTGTGTGGTTCTGTGATTTGTTGGGTGTTGTGTGGGGGGCCTGACCATGAGGCTGAAGACCGCTGTGAATGGGGGGTTTGTGCCGTGGTCTTATGGGGGTCTCAGGACGCTCAGCCCTGTTCCTGAAGGAACGTGGACATGCTTAGTGGGGTCTCGCCTGTTGTATCTCTAATCCTCAGCACAAATGTTCAGGTTAATTGGTCTGGTTGGTGTAATGACGATTTTACTGGGATTAATTGTACTCTTCAGTGCTCAGATGCACTGTATACCATAGCCAAGCAGCAGGGATCCGACTTCCTGATGTGCTGATGTTAGTGGTCAGTGGTCAGTGGTGTAAATCACTGTAATTTGATGTCTTGGAGATAACAAGCTGTGTTCTGCTCCTTGCCCCCCCCCCCACCCCCCACCCCACCACCAGGGAGCTGAGCGACATGGACCGCGATGGGGCCCTGACCTTGGCTGAGTTCTGCACCGCCTTCCACCTCATCGTGGCGCGCAAGAATGGGTACCCCCTCCCCGAGAGTCTGCCCCCCTCCCTGCTGCCCAGCTTTGCGGAGAAGGACGCAGGTGTCGGCTCTCGGTCCTACCCTGTCGTTGGGTCGCGTTCCTGCCCTGTCGCTGGGTCGCGTTCCTGCCCTGTTGCTGGGTCGCGTTCCTACTCTGTCGCTGGGTCGCGTTCCTGCCCTGTCGCTGGGTCGCGTTCCTGCCCTCCCACCACTTCACAGTCCTGCCCTGTCGCTAGGTCGCGTTCCTGCCCTCCCATCAGTTCACAGTCCTGCCCTGTCACTGGGTCGCGTTCCTGCCCTGTTGTTGGGTCGCGTTCCTGCCCTGTCGCTAGGTCGCGTTCCTGCCCTCCCATCACTTCACAGTCCTGCCCTGTCACTGGGTCGCGTTCCTACTCTGTCGCTGGGTCGCGTTCCTGCCCTGTCGCTAGGTCGCGTTCCTGCCCTCCCATCACTTCACAGTCCTGCCCTGTCACTGGGTCGCGTTCCTGCCCTGTCGCTAGGTCGCGTTCCTGCCCTCCCATCACTTCACAGTCCTGCCCTGTCGTTGGGTCGCGTTCCTGCCCTGTCGCTGGGTCGCATTCCTGCCCTCCCACCGCTTCACAATCCTGCCCTGTTGCTGGGCTGGGGTCCACCGGGCGCCGGCTCATGGTCCAGCTATGTCATTGGGTTGCGGTCCTGCCCCGCAGCTGTGTCTCAGTCCTGCCATGTAACTACGTTGGAAATATCTTGCAGGTTAAAGGAGAGCGCCGATTCTGATTGGCTCATTCTATGGTCCCGTTTCCCAGCTCCCCCAAAATTGGTGAGTGAGGACATGTTCTTCGAGACATCTGGAGCTCCACAGCAGACAGACCTTGTCCTTGCTGAGGTGAAAATATCCGACTGCTCTCCCTGCGCAGTGTGCACTCTGCCGCTCACCTCAGCCTGCTTTTAAACTTAATACTGTATATTTCTTTGTCTCTACTGCTGTCTGCATTTATGTATCAGTGCAGCTATGTAGAAGCATGTATTCCCCCAAGTACAGGTGCAACACCTCTTTTATAAATGCAGTGACATTTATAACACTGCATGTTATAAATGCAGTGACATTTATAACACTGCATGTTATAAATGCAGTGACGGTGCAGGCTGCACACTGATTTCATTGTTTGAAAGGTGTTTAATTTGAGACACTGTAACGTGTCGTGACAGAATCTGTCTCTTGGAAACTGGTCACACCGCCCACATATGCCAGGCAGTGGCAGTGCCCATGCAGAGACATGCAGGTGATGCTTCTCTGTCTTACAGCGGACAGAGCCTCTCATCTCCTTCGAGGAGCCTGATCCAGGGCCATCCCTCCAGGTGAGGTTTCTGCTGAGATGTTCTCCATGCTGACATTAACTCTGATATGCAGTATGGTATGGTACCATTGCCTTGACCAGTGTTGGTTTGAATCCCACCTCTGCTGTCTGTCCGAAGTTTGCATGTCCTTCCCCTTTATTTGCATGGGTTTCCTTCCACAGAGAGTATGATTTCTCCCGCAGAGAGTATGATTTATCCCGCAGAGAGTATGATTTCTCCCGCAGAGAGTATGATTTCTCCCACAGAGAGTATGATTTCTCCCGCAGAGAGTATGATTTCTTCCGCAGAGAGTATGATTTCTCCCACAGAGAGTATGATTATGTGCCATGTGATGAACTATCAGGCCATTAAGGATCATGGGTCTATTGTCTTAACATGCTGGTAAAGGTCTTTGCTGGAGTAACAGTGTTACTGAGCAGCTTCATTTGACTCTAGCCTGCAGCCTCCGGTGCACCAGCCAGAAACAATGACTGGTGATTCTCATTATGCTCCTTCTGTCCAACACAGGAAAAGAGTGAATCAGAACATAAGGCCCTTCTGTCTGAGATGATCACCCCCAAGCAGGACTTGGCTGAAGAACTTCCTCAGTCAGGTATCTATCTTTGGGATCTGTGTGTATGAGAGTTTTGCAGGCATTCTGGAACAAAGGGTAGCAGGTGGACATATGGTTGAGTCCTTATATCTAAGGGGGTCCTTGTCCAGACGTCTGATGATGTCTTGTCATGCTTCTGGCCATGCTAATGTGATCCACGTTTTCAGTAGGGCTCTGGTAACCCTCTCAAGTACTTCGAGTTTATATGCAAATACTGTTGTCTTCAAATTTAACTTTCAGCATTCAGTCCGAAGAGGGCGCCAGTCACAACAGATCAAGAGAAGCCTCCGGAACGTTTCCATAGAGCACCAGAGCAAGGTATCATTATTATAACTATTGCTACTAATACTGCTGCTTCCTTGCTGATATAAAATCATCCCCAGAGCTGTAATATATTGCAGTTTGTCCCCGTTGCACTTTCTTAGACTTCATACTCGTAGCCATAGAATCTGCAGAGAAATAAATGCATGAGTCAGTATTTCCTCTGTTTTTAATGGCCCCTTGATACTATTCCTGGGTAAAGAGTAACCTTGAGAACGGCGAAATGCTCCTGAGGATTGTTGTGTTAATACTGGAAATACCAGCCGTGTCCTATGGGCCAGAAAACATAACCAATCAACCAAACTAATCATGCCGCTTGACGAAATAGGGTTCGAGTTCCAATGCATGGAAAGATCGCCCTGAAAATCTAATTTCTGTGGAATGATTAATAGCACAGACTTGGAGGTACGTGGGATTGCTGTGGGCTGTCAGTCACTGACCATTTCAGCTGAACGAGAATCAATAAAATGATACCGCCTACTGTGTCCAACACTGCCCCCCACAGGCCGTCGGTGACCTCAGGTGCTGCTCTTCCCTAAATGCCTCTAAGGCGTTCTGAAAGCTGGGGACGGCCCCCCTGTCAGTCAGCAGTTGTATATGCACACCTGGGGGGGGCGTCCAACATCACGACTGACAAATGGAGTCACTCCTCACCCCCCCTTCCTGGCAGATAATATGTACTTTTCTGGCACCTGTCTGGGGGGAGGGCTGTCCGGTGCCTTTAGTAACCCTGACTGGTTTGTGTTCCGCGTCACTCCTGAAGTTCTCCTGTCTGGTGCAGCAGCTGTCGCCATGGTTTCCTGGTGGATCTCAGCCGCCTGCTGCGTGTTTTTCCGTCCTGAGCTGGAGACCAGCATAAAGAGCATAATTGCACATTCACAAGCTCGCTAAGGCTGCCCGTAATCACTGCGATCTAAGGTCAGCCGTATCGGCTGCGTTATACTATGCATAATCTCCACATGCAACGATGTCCTGATTCCTTGGTTGTTTATTTGAAAACTTCCTAAAAGAATGCCCCAGCCACTAACAGGAGACGAGCGCGCGGCCGTCTGGGCACCGTGTGCTGCTCGCGTGGATTCCTGCATTTGAAGGACCGCCATGCAGTGAAGCACTCTGAGCTCAGCGATCGCGGGACGCCCTGAAGCTCGAAGCTCGACCGCAGAACTGTGGAAGAACGAAACACGTTTCAGGAAGCGGAGCGGTCAGAATTGACATGGCAAAGACGTTTCTTTCAAGGCGAACCCGATCATCGTATGCTATGTTTTTTTTCTTCTCGAGGTCCAAATATCTCTCTCCCCCTGAGTTTGAGAAGCTGTAATTGTCGGCAGGTTTCAGCAGTGGTTTCACCATCTAACTGGCACTTCCTAAAGCGCAGGTGTGATTCTTTATGATTATTCTCAGGGGCTGCTGACTGCTGGCTCCTGCTTTAAGATTTATCCTTTATTGTAAATCATTTTCCTCTTTAAATAGTGATACTTCATCAATCCCTGTAGGGAAATTCTCTTTTCACTTACCCCGTCTTGCTCTCCATGAGACACGCAGACAGACTGTAAGCTTTGGGGTCGTAGTGCCGGCTTAGCCAAAATGCGGCCGCTTTGGAGTTGGGGGTTAAGGGTCTTACTGAGGGGCCCAACCCTGGGATTTGAACCAGCAACCTTCTGCTAACAGGCACACACTTCCCGCTGTGTTTCTGGCTGTTATCGTCACTTTCTCTCTTTTCACTCCTCTTAGCGTGATACTCATGCCTTAAGGTATCTTTCGATAGCGCTGCCAGTCCTTGTGTTTCCTCAAACAGACCCTCTTTTGCAGAAGTGTAATGGGACCTGCTTCATATGTGTTTCAGATCCTCCGCACGAACCAGAGCCTCACGTAAGATCGCGAGCACGGCCGAGGTAAGATACGTTCCGCTTACTCCAACACTGCGGGTGAGGGGCTCCCTGGGCTCGCACTGGGTACCTGGAGGGCTGCTGTCCTGAGGAGTGTGATTCCAGCTCATACTCCGGGCCACCAGGTCCTATTCCAGCACCTCCATCGAGGAGGCCATGAAGAAGGCTGAGCAGCCGCCCACGCCTCCACCCCGGCCCCAGAAGAGCCACTCGCGGGCCTCCTCACTGGACCTCAACAGGCTCTTCCAGCAGGGCACTCACGGTACGTCTGGCCCGTACATGGCTGGCCATTCTGCCGCTGGGATGTAGGGGCATCTCTGCTGAAGCACCAACAAGTCACTCAGCTCCTGTGGTCCTTGGGCTCAGCACTGACCTTCACATGTTCTAGGGCTGAAGAGTGGATACCTGCCGCACCCCCCAGCACTTCCTCCCAGACCGACAGCCACACAGGTACATGTAACCCCTCTCTGTCTACTCTAATCTAGTCCAGCTGGGTGTTGGGTCTATTCCCACTTGTATTCTGGCACTGTACCTGGTTTTTGGTTCTGGGTGCTGACATCCTGAAAAAGGTCTTTAACAATGACGGTGAATCAAACAAATAAACCGGTTTTTAAAACATACTTATTTAATGATGATGGCAACGTGTTCCAGATACCGCACGTCCCTCCCAGCACCGAGCAGAGCTCCCAGAAGGCCGTGCGTCAGCCAGACTTTGCTGACTTTGACAGATTCAGAGAAGAGGTAAAGCTGCAATTTCTCTGTACTTCCTTTCTGTTGCTCTCTTGGAAAAAACGTTTCATTTTTGTTTACTTTCCATTGCCGTCTTGCTATTATTATTTATTAGTAATAATATTGTTTTTTTAGCCTATGCAGGAGAATTACCAGGAGATTCATTTTAATCTCCAGGGATCATTTTTGCGTTTACAAAGAGCAGCTCTAGATGTGAAAGGGCTGTTTTCCTTTACAAGCAACCATCCATTTTTCAAATTAAAATTCAATTTAAATTATATTTTCAAATTCTTTTCTATTTGTGTCAGCAGTTCCTGTTGATAATTTAATAATCGGGGGTCTGGCTTTGACTGTGTCCGGCTGCTAGACTGTTTCTCTATTAATAAACCATTGCTTATTATGAAACTTGATGGAGAAGTCAAAGACTCCCACCTGCTTGGGCGTCAACACAGCAGAACCTTGCTATAACCAAACCGGATCGGGGGGGTCACACTGTGTGGGTGGTTCGTTGGTTCCCATCCCTATAATTGGAGCCCATCTGTTCAGTTTGGAGAGGCACGTGTGGCCGGAACAGTCCCGGAACGTTCTCCCTCCTATCAGTTGTCGAAGTCCTCTGATCACTGTGTGGCCGTGTCCAGCTACGCTGGTCATGTGACAAGACACTCTATCACTGTGTGGGCGTGTCCAGAGCCTTGACTGGGACTGTGCCATGTAATCTTTGATCAGGAAATGTGGTCCCTGAAACGGCGATGCCAGGTGCTTATTCATGCTAATCTGGGCCACTTTCTACGCTGATAAATTGCCCCCTTGCTGCCTCATCGGGGGTGCAGTGCTGTTTGGAAAAGTGTGTACATGGATTTAATGAAGGAAATGTGACTGGCCTTTAGGGAATCTCTGTACTGCAGTTTGCATCTTGTTTGTCTAGGGTTAGATAGAAGAGGACTGGCACACTCTCAGTGTGTGTGCGTGTGCGTGTGTGTGTGTGCGCACACGTGCAGCTGATGCAGATGTTCTCGATCCTGAGGTTCCAGTGCTAATTAGACGCTGCTGGCTCACTGGCTCCCTCTGTAAGTAGAGGTGTGCTCAGGTCTGCTTCGAATACCCAGGGCTGCAGCTTAGTCAGGCTCCGCCCCCTCACGCATCACAGTCTCCCACCAGTGAGCTAATCACCATTACACTGCTTCTGCACTGGGCCTGTCACTGGCACATCGACTGCTGCAGTTCCGGGTGCACGTCCATGGAGCTCCATCACACTGCGGTCATGTCTGCAGTGGCCAGTCCTGGGACGGCAGTGAGCGGATTCCCGTCGATGTAACAAAAAGAGGAGCAACTCTTTTGTTCCAAGCAACATACATTTTTTGAGAAATCAGGGTCATCCGGTCCCTGGAGCAGTAGGAGGGATAAGGGCCTCACTCAGGGGCCAGATGGTGACATCACTCCGCTGACCCTAGGATTTGAACTGGTGACCTTCCAATCACATGCACAGGGTCCCAACCTGCTGGGCCAGACACCACCCCTTTAAAAAAATAGGGAAATTTTGATGTGAGTTTCCTTTGGATAAAAGGTTCAGTCAGTAAATAACAATGTTCTCATTTAGGGCCTTCTTATGTTACAGGAAGTAGGCTAGCCGATAAGGAGGGGCACGCATCCAAGAAGTATACCCCGGCCTCGAACCCGGCAAATACCCGCTATGTAGGCCTGTCCGTCATCACACAGCTATGCCACGATGGCGTGAGGGGTGGGGGGGCCAGTGGTTAAAGCTCGAGTCCGCCTGCCTAATTTTCTCTAATTTGGTACGTCCCATTTTCTGCCTGTCTGATTTTGCCCACTAGATGGCACTGTTGTAAGCAGCACAGCTCAGGGCTGAATCAGGTCCCTTCGGACAGAGGACTTTGAACCCGTCCTGCGTTTACCACCGTTTCAATTCCGAACTAACGCAATAAAAAGCCGTGCGGCGCGCTGGACGTTTGCGGTTCGCTATGCTGATTGGCTGCGACGTTCAAAATTTGAACATATTTTTCTTTTTCCCGTGACTTATAACTAACTGCTGACACTGTTCCAAGCGGAGGAGTGGCTCAGCAGTTTCAGCTGAAGTCCCACGCCTTTCCGAGGAGCTGCCTTTGAAAAAGCCGGTGTTGGCCAGCTACTGCGAGACCTCACACAGCTCCACTAGAAACCAGAGTGACTCATCTGGGAGGGGGGGCATTTTATAAGTGAAGTGAAGTTTGCATAAGAAGAGCGTGTTCCCAATGTCCTGAGCTAGGGGTCACATAAGCGGTACTAGGGGGAGGCCCCCCCAGATTGGAGGAGCTTAGCCCACTCCAGGACACAGCCCTGCCTCCCCCCGTGGGGGTCTGGAGTTTAGGAACCACCTTACCCACTAATCAGCCCCCCTGCCAATGCCTTGCGGCTACCGTGATACTGTCATGGCTCCTGTCGCAGCGGGGGGCGGGGGGGGGGAGTTTGCTGGTGCCAGTTTGGGGGTAGATAAGGTGTGCAGGTGTTAACAAAGCAGCTTGTTAATCTTGTTTTTAAACTTTGTACCCTATTTATTGTTTTACTGCCTTGGTTTTGGCGGAATGTTCCGGGAATCTGGTCCTCAATCCCGGCCGCCTTGCCGTCTCCTGACCCCGGCTCCAGCCCCCCCAGGAAATGGGTCTGCTCCAGCCCCCCCAGAAACCACTGCGCAGGAAGTATCACCCCGAGAGCCAGGCCCGGGACCCGGCACAGACCTTCGGCTCGCCCGCACACCCCCCCGGCGGGAACAGACCCCCCCAAAAGTAATGCTTTAATGCGATACTGAATATTCATTTATAAATCATTCACATACTATATCTACTCCTGAGGTACATTCCTGAAGAAATGTACGTGCTTTCAGAAGCTTGGTACAATGAAATCCAGATGCTGCACTTAATCTGAGGACGGCCCAGACGCGGGTTCGGCTAACTGTCCCGATGTGCTTACAGGCTGTCCTCGGGGCAGAAGAAGGACGTCCAGCTGGCCATCCGCAAGAACAAGGAGACCAACGCCGTCCTCATGAGACTCAACAGCGAGCTCCAGCAGCAGCTGAAGGTCGGGGCTGCATTTCCGCTGGGATGCTGCGCTCTTTACACCTTGGGGAAGTTTCAGGTCTTAACCTTGGTCAGACTGCAGGTTCCCCCACTCCTGGTGAGCCTTAGGACTTTGGCTGAGCAGTCTGCAAGGCGGATGGGCTTTCCCCTGCGCGCCATGCATCATCAGCCCGCCTGCTGGCTCTCGGTAGCTGCTCATGTCATTCCTGTACGCGACACGCTACCCTCTTCACCAAAACAGCAGCAAGGTGACGGAAAGAGGATCCCCCCTTTGCCGAACATGACCCAGAGGCCCGGAACAGAGGCAGTGCTTCAAAGCGAGCTTCCGCAGGCTCCTCCCACACGAGGAGAACCAATCCCGTGTCATTGTCGGAGCTAGACGCAGTGTGGCTGGACACAGCCTGGACACCAACATTCCGCGGGGATCAGGAGGGAAACCCGCTTCAAATTGCCAGCAATGATGGCATTCCGATCCTTCCTCCCAGAATTAGAGACACAGTTGCTGCGATCCCACCCAGGGTGGACAAATCTTGGAAGGCTGGGAGACGTAACCTTCAACCTTGCCGTAATATTACCCAGAATTCCATGCTCTGGGATACGCTGGGATGGATAGGGTGACAACATAATGAATTCATATTTGTATAGCATTCACAAAATGCACAGCTGTGAGATGTAGATCCGTCCTGCGTGATCCACGTGCCCGAGAGTTGAAAATAAGACTGGTAATTTTCAGACAGGTTCTTCCTCCCAAGTGGGGGGGAGCTCCTCGTCTCAGGGGGTTGGGGGTTAAAGGTCACGCTGCGCTTGTTTTCTCTGAGCCCCGGCAGGCTGCACCGACATTTGTCTGCACTTAAGTCATTTCCCTGAGTAGCTATTGAAGGAAAGGCATGGGGGGGGGGATGCTTTGACTTTCCCTCTCAAGCACAGTGAGAGTGAGGAGATGGGGAACAAGATTTAAGGAGGGGCAGGCTAGCGTCTCTGGGGTCACGTGGCCAGAGATCTCAGCAGCAGAGGTGGAAAGTTCAGGTCCACAAATCCGGGTCCAAGGTTTTGTTTCAACCAATCACTTGAGTATAAAGAGTCACAGTCACAGAATACTCAAGACAGGAGTTCCTCCTGCTGTAACGCTGGTGATTTTTCCTTCTCTCCCAGGCAGTCCATCAAGAGAGGATCCACTTGGAGAACCAGCTGGAGATCCTGCGTCCTGCAGCCATGTGACCAACCTCAAGGGTCAGACAGAGATGTGGACAGACCTCTCCTCTGGGAGTTTGCCTGCTCAGGGCTGTGGTCTCACCTGGGCCAGCTGGTGTCCTCCTGGTCATTCTGCACTCTCTGTGCCGGGTTATGCTGTATGTGCCGACACGTTGACATGTTTGTAACAAGGCCCCCGTGAACCAGGACACATCAAAGGCCTGACATGCAGAACAAGCCCAGCGGGCTTCAAAGGGCAAAGGTCAAATACACTGTAGTCAAAAGAAGCAGCGAAGATGGGATTCAGATCCTCATCCGGAGAACCATCTCCGTATCTGTGAGTCCAACAGGTCAACCTCTGGTTGCATTAAGGTTTTATATATAATATCTCATATTCTTTTAATTCCAACACTGCTTTTTTAACTTCAAATCAGAGAATAATTTTTAAAGATGTATTTGTCCTTGTTTTGGAGACTCCTGGTGTCGGCTTGTAAGAGGGTGCAGAGTAATTTCTGTGACTCAGGTCCGACTTTGTGCACCGATAAGATAAATGTATGTGTCCTCAGATTTAATTGCACTCCCCCGCAGAACAATTAAAAAGCTGAACAGATAGAAAGGTGCTGATTTGTAGCACAAACCCAACAGTAACATTTTTCATGAAGAACTTGGGGATTGTGAATGTTAAATATGTGTCATTTCATTCTGGATTTCCTAAATGTCCAGTCAGAGGTAACATTCTGCTGAAAGTCTGGTGGAAGGCAGGACCGCAAAACTGCCCCAGCTTCCGCAGGGAGGGCAGATACAAGTGCTCCAGAAGGAGGTGAGGGATTGACGTCAGTCCCATAGAGATGCTGGGTCTCTGCCCATGGACAGCAGAGATAAAAACCAGTCACTTGAGATGCAGCAGCCCTACGAAGCTCAAGATGTTTGAATTTAGAGGTTTCGGGTTTTTTTGCCGCGGTCACATCTAGTGACGGTATTGAGCCTCAAATTTCTGGACTTTCTTTTTTCTGGATTTTTCAAGAAATCGGACCATTTTAGAGCTAAACGTGTCGACCAGGAGTCCAAGAGCACAACATAAAGGTGGAGAAGCACATTCTATTAGAGTTCAGAGCTGCTGCCTTCCATGCTGTGGTCTGGGGTTAGGGTCCGTACCCACCTCGTCCTGCTCGGACTGCAGCCCTTATCCGTGCCAAGAGAGGAAAACCAGCAACAGAGAGGTTTATAACCCCCCCGCTCCCGCCCGTCGTTTGCTGATCTGCTCTCCAGTCCCGCGTGTGCAAGCAGAGTCTTGTCTGTGTTCTCAGTAACGGTTTGTGCATCTTGATGGGGCTGAGAGCGTTTCCAGTTTCAAGCTCCACTGCGGGCGATAGAGAATGCTTCTTCCTGTTATTCTTAAATACGTTACCTAGCATGTTTCAAGCCAAATGTTGACGCATAAAGTTTAAACTGAAAGGACAAAGGCGGTTGTGTGCATCTCCTAGCAGTGATGGGGGTTTTCACGTTTAACAGTGTGGGTTAGGGTTACTGCTGTCAGCTTAATTTAGCAAAACACCCTCCTGGGTGTGAAGCACAACTGCATTACATGGGTGCTCATCCGGATTAGCTAGTGATACGTGAACTGCTGAAAGTGAACGCTTTTCACGTGATCTGACTGAATTTATGCCAAACCAAACCGATACAGTTACTGTCATGTCGGACTCTTGGAACACCGCCCCCCCCACCACCACCATAAACCACCATAAAAGGACAATCCTTTAAATGACCAACAGAAAAAAATGTAAGTTTTAGAAAGACAGCAAGAGCAAAATGGTTTAAAAAAAATTTGAGTACAAGTATGATTATTGCTGTATCTAAATCTCTATGCAAATGCGCTGGTGCTGAGAGAGCCGGCTTCAGTCTGACGTGTCTCTGTGCCGCCGTACATGTGCATATGTACCAACAAAAGGTGTTTAATGTATGCAAGTGGCTTCATTTAAAGAGTTACCAACAGAAAGACACACTGATCTGTATGCCAAAATGCATTCTGGGAAATATAACAATAAAGACGGAATTACTGGAAACATTTGGACCTAATGTTCAGTATTAAATGTTCTTTTCTTCACCAAAATCGAAATTTTTCTCCCTTAATCATAATGATATTTTACTGGATCTTGTTGCTTAAGTCTCCCACAATAATGCCGGAACTCACAACCTCTGTGTCCTCATTTGCGATTTGTCTACTTCAAGATGAGACAAAAATTACCAGCCCTCCTTTGCTGGACCTTTTCTTGGACCAGTAGGGGTCAGATTTTTAAAGGCACCGCAGACGGTCCAGGTAAGTCAGTTCCCCAGATCCCACAGGAGACGAGGTGAGTCGAGTTGAAGATAAATATTTGTGATAGTGATATTAGACATTTTTATTATGCTGAGAGCCATTTTGAAGCCTTGCTCACAGTTGATTGGCTGTTCCGCCACTCGGTTGTTGTCTCACCTTTCGCGTGTCACTCCCTTTGAAAAGGTGCCCCCCCCTCCCCCAGCTGTGGTTCCGCTGCCTTGACGCCCAGGATGGCGCCGTCATGCAGACGCTATTGTATCACTAACACTGGCACTGGTGCCCTCCCCCCCCCGCCCCAGGTGGCGCTACAAAGTTAGCTGGAAAACATGAAGCAGGTTCACCCTCAGCCAGAAAATTACCAGGAAGTCCTGTGCTAAGTGGAGCGGGGAGGTGGGCTTGTCAGAGTTTTCCATCGCTGACCTGAGCATCATCCCCACCCCCCCAGGCTAAATTTTATCTCTAGACAGGGTGTCAAAATTGAATTATGCGCAAACTCCAGGCTAAAACAGGAGCCTAATGACCCATCGACAGTTGATAAATAAAAATGTAACAGCAAGTACTATCAGTCAGTGTTTATTTACGCCCCTTGGTATTGTGTACTGCCCCGGCCCGAGACATGGCTGGCATCGGGAGATGTACCACTGTAGCTTTACAAACTCTAGGGGAAGAAGCAGTGCTGCTCATTTTGTGTTCCGATGAAGGTTGGATTTCGGGTTGAGTGTTACAAACTGTCTTTTCAGTAGCAGTTGCTCAGTACGGCTCTTGTTCAGACAGGAATGTGGACCCAGAATCGTTGCTTCACCGTTCAGTCTTTGCCTGCTCCTTTGCTACCAAAGCCTCCTCACCATCGTCAGCCTCCTCACCATCGTCAGCCTCCTCACCATCCTCAGCCTCCTCACCATCCTCAGCCTCCTCACCATCCTCAGCCTCCTCACCATCCTCAGGCTCCTCACCATCCTCAGCCTCCTCACCATCGTCAGCCTCCTCACCATCCTCAGGCTCCTCACCATCGTCAGCCTCCTCACCATCGTCAGCCTCCTCACCATCCTCAGCCTTCTCACCACACCATACACACACCTCTCTGTCAATGTCTGAATGTTTATTTTTCTTTGCCAGCTAAGCACACAGGGTTCATCCAGAGTTCAGCTTCTGTGTGAGACGCTCATCTCTTTGAAGTTTCAAGACATCTTTGATGAAAGAAGCATCTCTCTCTGTCACAACAGACTCTGAGTTCAGATGATCTTTTGAGGAGACAGAGATATGGAGCCACAGACCCTCCTAGGGATCCCTGCTGTTCCCCGGAGACCCAAAAACCAGGTATCGGGGGTGTTAAGCATTCCCTTAAAATGGCATCCTGCTCCATTGTGGGGTCCTACAGTTATTGTACAGGCCATACTAAGAAGCCACGAACCCTATGGGACTGGTGCCAGTATTATGCAGCGAAACCCATAGCTGAAACTGAAAGGATGGACCGACTGTGGCTGTGTCCACACTTGGACACAACCCAGCCTTCATGAAGGCTCCGCCCATGCCACTGAGGCTCCGCCCACACCACGTAAGCCCCGCCCCAACATATAAGTTTCTACCCCCAACTCTCACTTTCAGGAAAGCGCCCGGATTGTCTTGGTCTCTCCCCTCTTCTCGCACCAACTGCCACACGCCTTTTTGACCTCTGGGCAATATAGGAATGTTTTTAGGGACGCCATCGATGTCTGACATGAGGGACACTCTTACTGCACCAGCTGAAAAAAGGATCAGTTGTCCGCCGCCGCCCTGTCACTCAATAGCGGTTCCTGACTGACGCTGAAATCAAAGACAGAGTCTGAAATCCAAGAAGCACCTTCCACTGGAAGCAGGGGGGGGCGTGTGTGGGTGTGGCCCAGTTCATTTCACTCCGGAAAAGCGTCACTGGCTTTGGCACATGGCGCCATCACCCATTACAACATGTTCTCCATGTTCTCATACTCGCTCTGATGGGAACGTGCTGTAGACAGTGAAAAATGTTCTGTTACTATAGAAACCACTTTGCACGTTGATTGATCTGTCCTTCCGGATAGCATGCAATTTATTTAATGTACCCGTATTCTGCCGCTGTGCTGTGGGGGGGGCCCACAGGTGTTTGGGTTGGCGTGGCCATGAATTCTGACACCTTCCGCCTGACCCCGTCACTCATCGACCGCGGTGCCTGAAAGATTTTTCCGTGTGATATTTCGGAAGGGCAATTATCCACAGATTTGGAAAGGTGTCTCTCCTTCGTCAGCTAGGCTTACAGAGGAGTCGGATTAAACCGCAGGGATTTTTTTTTTCATAGTTCAGCAACAGGAAGCCAAGGCTGACAGATTGGGGGTGGGCCGGCCCGGGGGCCGGGGACCAGAGTTAGCTCAAACCCTGAGCATCATTATGCATTTGACAGGTAAGGCTTCAAACAGAGGCGCATTATTAAATTAGGGCTACAGTTAAGAAATATGGTTTGACACAAGATTAGTGATAATTGAAATATGTAAATTATGAACTGTACCTAAATAACAGCAGCTCCGATCTTACTGTCACGCCTCGCTGATGCTGGTCTTTCACAGCTCTGGGTCCCGCTCCATCCCCTTCCGTTGCCAGGACACAGTGTCTCTCCCGCCGTCTGGGTCACAGTCACCCAATGTCCACACCCAAGGCAAGGATACACACGCAGAAAGCAGCAGACTTCAGCTGCATGTGTCAAACTATAAATATCCCTCCGTGCCGTGTGGTCTGGGTTATCCAGAGCAGCTGAAGTCCTTTTCTATGCCGTCACAGCTACAGTTACACACCTTGATTTATTGGCAGCATAGAGTCTCATCACCAGGCCTTTATTATCACTGTGTTCCCACGGTGAACCGTGGTTCTGCATGTGTGCCGTTCGTAGGCCGCTCAACTCTAAGAAAATGTCGACTGAAGTTTGCTGTGTCGCCACTAGAGGGTACCACAGAACCTGCAATTTCAATCGGAACGTTAGCTTACAATAAATTTAAAATATCATAAGCAAAAATAAATACACTATGTTTGAATGGGTTTTGTGTAAGTCTTCGTATTTTCTCCATATAAAAAATCACATTAGGTTGTTTGCAAAATAAAGATCAAAAATAAAACTTTTGAAACTTTCAAACTTTTGGCGGAAATTCATCGTGAGGCACCTTTAATATCAGCGATTGTTCTTGGCGGACCGGAAGTTTCCTCTGTGCAAACGGCAGGTGTTAATGGTTGTATTTCCAGGTATACTTGTCATTTGGCCACATCAATGAAGCCCAGACGGTCCAGAACATTTTCCCTGTTCCCTGTCTCTGGTTAAATCCCTTCATCTCCTCCCAGACACTAAAGGTAAGGTTTTAACAGGACATGTCTCTAAATTGCTGGTTTACCCCTCAGGCTGATTACAGTCTCTCACTGAAACATTTGTACAGCTTAACAAAAAGCACCCATCGTTTAATTAATCTGACATTAATTGATTTACCGGCATCCTCCTCTACACATTCTGAAACCACAGAAAACCAGAATGATATAAAAATAATGCAAATTACACTAAGAAGGAGTTTAAAATAAGAGTTTTGTTGTTCATTTGCGTCACCAGAGGGCCCAGCCTGGTCTGGTGAAATCCAGATCTTGAATATTATCTCCCAGGCGTACAATTCCTTTAAAAAGGCTCAAGGCTTCTCTACTCCAGCACCCACATTAAAAAACTGTATTGGTTTAACATTTTTCAATTAAATCCTTATATGCTACTGCTGGTGAGTGAATTTCACCCCGACTGGAGCTCAGTGAGTGAGTGAAGTCACCCAGCAGCAGACACTGGCGGTACATCGACCGGCCGCCGTCCACACTAATCTCTGCCGGCCTCTTGCTGACAGGTTAGGCCCCATCTTTCCGCTCTCCGCCGTTCCAGGGCGCGGTTTTGCTGGCTCTGCATTACTGAGTGCTCAGGGGGGGCTTAGACCGCCCCCTCTGCCAGGCCACATTCCCCCGGATTGAGGGTTTAGCAGAGCGCTCATTCAGCGACTGCGAACAGACCCCGGATCGGCAGGCGGGTCTCTGCTCCTAGGCGAACGCCAGGTCATGTGGCGGATTGTCACGAAAACACTGAGGACAGGCAGGTGTCACACCCTGGTCTGGGTGTCTGTCTGTCTGACCGTCTGTCTGACTCTCTGTCTATCTGTCTGTCTGACTCTCTGTCTGTCTGTCTGACTCTGTCTATCTGTCTGTCTGTCTGACCACCTGTCTGACTCTCTGTCTGACCGTCTGTCTGACTGTCTATCTGTCTGTCTGACCGTCTGTCTGACTCTGTCTGTCTGACACTGTCTATCTGTCCATATGTCTGTCTGACTCTCTGTCTGTCTGTCTGATTGTCTGTCTGTCTGACCGTCTGACTCTCTGTCTATCTGTCTGACTCTGTCTATCTGTCTGTCTGTCTGACCACCTGTCTGACTCTCTGTCTGACCGTCTGTCTGACTGTCTATCTGACCGTCTGTCTGACTCTGTCTGTCTGACACTGTCTATCTGTCCATATGTCTGTCTGTCTGATTGTCTGTCTGTCTGACCATCTGTCTGTCTGACTCTGTCCATCTGTCTGTCTGACCATCTGTCTGTCCGTCTTACAGCAGGTGGTAGTGGCTTGGGTGAGGATTTAAAATCACAAATGTATTTTAAACAGCCAATTCATGCTATTGCCATGTGTATTTCTACATATATTTGTTAATTTTTAATTTTAGATAGTGGATGATAGACAAGCAGTCTACACATAATTATATTTAATCTCCATCCCCAAAACACATGACTTTTATATTAATGTCTATCCATCTAAAAACTTTTTTCGATTGATTTTTCATTTATATTTCACTTTGGAATTAAATTTGTCTCTTTTTGAGGCCACATATTGACTGATTAATGAAGGCACTTACACGTTATGTAATCTATTCTTTCAGTTAGTGTCCAATTGGAGGTTTGGCATTTTAAGTTAAGGTATGTCTGTCTAAAGTGGTATGCCCAACCTTCTTCCAAAGAAACAGTATTAATGTGGCTTCTTGCGGGAGGATGTAAAATATGGTGAAAATCTTGCTGGATGTGATTTTTTAAATGTATGTAGCATAAACCTTTTCTTGGCAGTTACTTCTGCTCTATGCAACATTATTAAATACGTAAGAAAAACATAAAGGCGTGTTCAGATCCCGTTGATCGGGGACGCCGTTTGTCGTGCGCTACCATTCATCGTCTGTAGCACAATATCAAGCTTTACTGACTCCAAGCGGCCTGTTGAATGAATGAACCGATTCCCGATCCAGAAAATTCACCACTCCGGGTTTTCGCGTGGTCGCCTCTTTTTAAAATCCACCTCTACTTTACAGCGCTGGGGAAAATGCATGGCAAGGCAGCTGATGATCAGAAGAGCAGCGGAGATCCCAGTCTGAAGGCAGGCTGCCTTACTCCCTGACCGCGCGATCTTTACCACAGGAGAGTCAAAACATGGAGGAACCAAACATGAATTCGGGATTTTGGGATTAACTGGGACAGGAGCCTCAAACGCGACTGCTTTACTTGGATTTGATTTATTCTGAGGGGGATTTTGCTTTCCCGTGCAAAATGCCTTTCGCCAAACGGATCGTGGAGCCCCAGTCGCTGTGCAGGCATGCGATTCCCAGTGACGAGGGCTTGCTTTTTGAGGATCTTTGCTCAATCAACAATGTGGCTCTTTCCCGGACCCTGAGGCAGCTCTCCGACCTGGCCAAGCATGCCTGTTCCTTATTCCAGGAGCTGGAAACCGAGATCCTATCTACGAACCAACGGGTCTGGGTTCTGCAAAGCAAAATAGGGAGAATTCAGCAGATCGCCAGCGGACTGGATCCTAAGCTGGAAGCCGTGCGTAAGTACCCGGCCCGGGCGGCGTGTCCGTAATGTAAAAGAAGAACCGCTTCATGTGCCATAGTTTTGGGTTCAGTCCTTCAGGGAGGCTTTGGGCGAGCCCGGGACACGAAAATGCAATGAGGTGCGCGCCTTATTTCGTTGTCGTATATTATTATCGTATTCCCGATATATTCCGGTTCCCTCTAAATTCCCGTGACAGAAGCCACATCCAGCGCTATTTCGTACCGGAAAGGGCAAAAGGAGGTGTTACAGATGAGAGATTGCACCTTAAAATAGTTTCTTTACAGTATCTGCAAGCGAGTGTTGCAGGCAGAGGGGCGTGTGCGCTGCATGGCTGGGAAGAGGTTGCACCGGCGTCTTCACCGGTACCGTCTCTGTTTATTAATGTGGGCAAACGCTGCAGGTGCGGGGCGACTTCTGTACCTGACCGGAATGGATGATCACGCCCCGTCTTCGGCGTTGAATCCCCCTCTGCAGTGCCGCATCCCACGCCGTTCCCCATTAATATCACAGCCTTAATGAAATCGCTGCGGTGAGAATGACAGATGTGGGAAATGAACGCGTGTGATAAAAAAGACCAGTCAAATTAGGGTTTTATGTGGAATGTGAACCGGTTTGCGCAACCCTGGTACCGGGAACGCGCGCCGTGCACCGTCCGATAGTTGAATTCCGCGTTACTGGAGGATTACTGGATTGCAGACGACTAGAAATGCACGATGACCATTTATACCAAAGAGGGTTTCTCTCAAGCGTTTAATCCAGATGTTTTTTTCTGAAGTCCGCCCTATCAAGTGATGCATCCTTAGCGTCGGTCGCAGTTAACACATTCTCTCCCGGTGGGAGCTCTGAAAGTACCTTAATTAATACAAGCCACGTATGAAATGGTTGCGGTGGAGATTTGGGGGAAAATGGCAGTGATGGGAAAGAAGATATAATATTTCCAAGTGAGGACATGCAGTGGGGAATGTTTCTGTTTTATTTTTCACTGGAATAATAACATTTTGGTTATTGGAAATTGACGCAGCCGTACGGATTCTGGGAAAAAATAAATCCTTCAGGATAAATACTTTGTCTTGTCGCAGGAAAGCATTCCTGGTGTGTGAAAATGCCAGTCGGGAGGAAAGGCACTATCTTTAAAAAATACTGAATTTGACACATCCAGCACTGGTACTCCCCCTCGGCCTTCACTCGTCTGGTACATGTGGCCAAGCCTGGTTTTCTGCTTGGGGAGGGATTGCTCTGGGATAGCTGCGGTTTGCCTTGGGTTAGCGTGGCGGGTCGACGGATGCACGTGATGATTTCATTTGTTTTTAAGGGACGTGAAGACTTCGGTACTTTTTGCCAAGATTCTTGCAAAGTGCGCAGTGTTTTCCCACGATATGCAGCACGATTTGGCCTACAGGAATGCATGTCGGAATACGTTTTTTTATGACGAAAATGACTGTTTCTGTAAAATGGTCTTTAGGAAGTACTTCAAATTTATGAGTAACTGCACGCCCCAGATAACGGTGGCAAACAGGTGTCCTATGTGCATTTTAATAGCGACCTCATGTGCTTCTGGTTGTTCCTGTTTATTGGTTACCTAGCAGAAATATGAACCTCTTGAGCAAGGGTAGGGTCAGTGCTTCAGGCTATGACCCTGTAACCTTCTGGACACATGTCGAGGTTCTTAAGCATGTCTTGAGATCCTAGTGATATAACTTCCAATCTGCCTGTCTGAAAAAGGGCTGCCTTCCAAAGCCTTGAATGAACTCTGGGTGTGTGAATTAAATGATTCTTTATTCACAGTAGTACATTTCTTTTCACTTTTCACATATTCCATTTTTCTTCTCTTTGAGAAACACACGCACACACAGTTAAGAGTGAAACTACACTGTCAGGCCATTTTTATAGCACCCTGGACTTTTTTTTTGGGGGGGGGGGCGAGGTTTAAGGACCATGTTCAAGAACTAAACAGAGATGACTATTCTACTGAGGCCGGGCTTTGACCCAGCAACCTTCCAGTCCCAGATGCAGAGGTTTACCTTCCTGAGCCACAAGCCTGGGGGATCTGTGTAAGCACCAAACCAAGATGTCTTCTGCTATCTAAAAGCTTCAGCCACTCATGCACTTGGGACATCATAAGAGCTTTCAGCTGCACCTTTAGCTCCCCCGAAGGGTTAAACTCCGCTCTGCATTGCTCAGTAAAGGAAAGAATGCAGTTTTTTAGGATGGCTTGAGATCCTCATGGAACACTCCATACCCTGGAGTGGACGCGTCCCCATTTACCCGGCTCCGGTTACTGGACCACGTTGCCGTGGTTCAGTGGTCTGGCATTAAAAACAGAAATAGCACTCGTACATTCAGCTGTACGTTAGGAGGCGGAGCAGCACTCTGGGCAGCCAATGAGAGGCACCCTGGGCAGCCAATGAGAAGCCCCCAAAGTGACTTGCGTGTCCCTTACTGTCTGCCTGGAGATCAGCACTGAATCATGGGCATTGTGCTCCATGTGCCTCTGTCTCCGGCCTAAATGGGCAGGCTGTGAGCGGACAGGCTCTGTGGCATGCCCCCCCGCTGGGGATGTTAATTGTCCCCCCCCACCCCCACAGCCGGGTAAAGCAGGTCAGGAGTCATGGTAATGATAACTTCTGATTCTTCGAAGAGGGAAAGCCGTCCGGCCCTGAAGATCATGGCTTTGAGCTGGTGGTTATTCTTGCAGTGCTCAGACAGTGGGCTTGTTTTGGTTTACATACATACACCCACATAAGCTCGCTGATGTCCTTACAGTGGCTCATAAGGGAGTAATGCATTCACCTCTATTCTGGCAGGGGCCTCTCTGTAGGGGCCCCTCTGTAGGGGCCCCTTCTGGCTGTAACTGCTCATAATGGTCTTTCTTACAGCAATGGGGCTGCAGTTAAACAGCGGGGTTGGTATGCGAATGAGAATTGGTGCAAATGTGCTCCTGAGCCTTTGTTGGGAGTGGGGGGGGGGGGGTATTGGGACGGAGCCAGCTTTGTGAGGGCTTCCCGCTGTGGCATAGTGGGGTGCAGGCTGGGGGGGCCTTCAGGGAGTCCGTGTTCCCAACCTTGTCTCGGGTTGGACACTAGGAATCGGCTGTTGTACCTTAGAATAAAGTGCTGCACCTGAATAACTTTATGAAAACGGCTCAGCTTCGTAAATGAGGAGAGATGGTGAGATGGTGTCTCGGCTCCTCACTGTCTCGTCATGTGAGAATGCCCCCTCCCCACCTCTTCCGATTTTTTTGCAAGTACGACTGGCCGATACCGATTTTTGCCAATTCCGATTTTTTCTTTTCTTTTCTGAGAACTATAATTGACGGCTTATAAACAAAAATCAGCCTTTCTTCAATGCAAAATTTGATTTTCATAATAAAAGAAATCGTTAAACTTCACAATTTCCCCCAAACTGCACTACATTACAGGATCTTTTCTCACTTAAACAAGTCTCAAAATAAAGTGCTCTGTGACTGGATAGAGGTACAAATAACAATTTACTGAAAATGAGCTGCTGTACACCCAATTTTATCTGACATATTTTACTTTTCCAAACAAGAGCAGGTGCAACAGATAAAATTAAATAACAAAACAAATGTCAGTTACTTGTATTGTTTTCCAGTTTAAATTGTTTAATTGTTTAAATTCACCAGATAACACCACTTGACCCTTTTGTTTTTATATTTGTCTTAAAATAAAATCCATAAGTTACAAACCTCCAAATAAAACTGAAGTGTACTATACTCTTCCAAATAATAATTGGTGCAGGGTAACATTATTAATACCAACATCACGTGTTATGCACAAACAATTCTTACATCGCTAGTAAGCTAGATTAAGATCAGACTTTTTCATACCTTCTTACTGTACAGACATTATAGCGCAGGGGGTTAAAGTTTTTACTCTGTCGTAGGAAAAAACCTTGGCTAGCTTTGCAATTTTAATTGTTAATTGTTAGTATATGTTTAATAATAAGATTGAAATGGTGATTCCCCCATGGTTTACTTTGGCTCACAGTGCAGAGCTTCATGTTAACGACATGCTGGCGCGTGGCTGTCAGGCTAGTCATGCGCACAGCTGCATGCTGCATGCATAAAACAGACCGGTTCGGTGTCAGAAATACAGGAGATTGAGCGGCCGGTCTCCAGTTCTGCCCGAGCACGCTGAAAACCGATCGATTCCGGGACAGCAGTGGGCTGCTGTTGATTAGCATCCAAAGCACCACAGTCATTTCAGAATGGAGGGGGTTGCACTTCTGTTAAATTAAAAGCTTAATTTGCTTTATAATGTCTAAATGCTGCACTGTACTCATCCCTCCGCTAAGTCGTAACGATAGTCTGCTCTGCTAACAAGAGGGTTTCCTTCATTTAACGGCAATTAAGGCCTCTTACAGCGTTTTGCTGTCTAGCTAGATGTTTCACAGACCCTAGTGTTGGTCTTCTCAAAGCTGAGAGGAAGATAAATCACATGACCTGACAGCTCGTCTGTGATAGGATAAAAAAAGCTGGCTGGAGGAACATGGCCTGGTTTGGATGGATGGATGGTACCATTGACCATTGAACTGGAGGGGTCTGGTGTAAACATGGAATGATCGCCTGAGCTAATCTGTAATGGCCGACCTCAGGGTTCCTCGCAAAGTGGTGAAAGGTCATGAGTCTCACAGCAAGGCTGGCAAGAATTGAAGGACATGCCCCCCCTCCCCATCAGGCTGGCAGGAGGTCATGCCAGTTGGATGTGATATGTTGGGGGGGGGGCGTGCAGAACGAATCAGGGGAAGGTTTTTGGTTCATTTCCCATTGGACATGCCAAGGAGATGTCACCTGGACGTATATTCCACCTCCTATGTCGGGGGGGTGGGGGGGGGGAGGTTGCCGTTCTCCACATTCCAAACACCAAAACAGCTGGTGGGGCCACCCTGACAGAGAGGGTACGAGAATCGGGACACGACACACTTTCCCTGGGAGGTGACCTTAGCATGTAGCTTGTGCTCCTGAACCGACGTGTC